AGCCAGGCTCTTTTCCTGGAGCCAAGAAGAGCGTTTTACAGCTGGGCTCCAACACCATCAAATCACAACCATTGCAGAGCTGCTGGCACCTGGAAATGGGCCTGAAATGCCTGGGAACAGTAAGGAATGCCACCGAGGTGCTGAGGCAGGATGAGGGACCTGCAAAGAAGTCGCTCCCTGCTGCATTTTTGGAGACCTCGAAATGGTTCCAGGAAAATCCCAAGTTCCAAATGGCTCCAAAAAATCCAATGGTTCCACATTCCAAATCCCAGTGGTTCCAAAACATCCCAAGAGATGTGGAGAAAATGTACAGCTCTACACTGGGTTCTGTGTGGCTGCAGTGCGCTCTCCACAAGGATCAAATGTTTGGGGCAAAAGCCAAAGCCAATGTTGTGCTTCCTATCTAAAATCCTCCAGCTCTTCTTCTCTGCAAAAGGAAGCTGGGTATGAGTGGCCATTTACTCTATTCTGTGCAGTTCCAAGTACTGAATATGAATTTGCCACTCACTGTACTCTGCCAGAACTAGTGGAGGTTGAATGAAATGCATTAGCCCACGTATGGAATTTGTGCAAAGAGAATATTTATTGAGAGAAAGTGTGATGCATCTCTGTGCGTCATTTGAGCAGACAGCGGACAAAGCCAGTTCAGCTTTGCCACACTGCCCCAAACCTGGCATTTCAGCCCCAAACTCTGGTTTAGGACAATCCCACCCCTGCCAAGCAGCCCAGAAATCATTTCAGATCTAGCTAGCAAAATGAATGTGAGAGCAGTGCTGGGGCTCAAATTGATTCCAGGAAAATCCCAAGTTCCAAATGGCTCCAAAAAATCCAATGGTTCCACATTCCAAATCCCAGTGGTTCCAAAACATCCCAAGAGATGTGGAGAAAATGTGCAGCTCTTCACTGGGTTCTGTGTGGCTGCAGTGCGCTCTCCACAAGGATCAAATGTTTGGGGCAAAAGCCAAAGCCAATGTTGTGCTTCCTATCTAAAATCCTTCAGCTCTTCTTCTCTGTGTCAGGAAGCTGCACATGAGGGACGTTTGCTCTATTCTCTGCAGTTCCAAGTATTGAGGACAGCCATTTGCTGTACTCTGACAGCACTACCAGAGGTCTAGTGAAATGAAATCAGCTCCCATATGGAATTCAGGCAAAGAGAATATTTATTCTGTGAGTAATAAAGCAACTCTGAGTTGAAAGCATGATGTGCGTGTGTGACATTTGAGCAGAAGCAGTCAGCACGTAGCAGATAAATCCAGCTCTGTTTTCCCACACTGCCCCAAACCTGGCATTTCAGCCCCAAGCTCTGGTTTAGGTCAACTCCCACCCCTGCCAAGCAGCCCAGAAACCATTTCAGATCTAGCTAGCACCATGAGTGTGAGTAGTGCTGGGGCAAGCAGCTGGCTGCCTTCCCTTCCTGCGGTAAGCAGATCTTCCTGTTGTTCAGCAGGAGACGTGAGCCAGAGCCGTGCCCCCCGTCCCCCCTCTGAAGGCACAGGAGCATTTACAAGGTGTTGGCACCGAGATTCACCCTGACAGCACCGATGGCCCTGACTCCCCTGTCCAGGCTGCGAGCAGAAGGGCTCCGCAGCGAGCCGAGCGTTGTGGCTGTCAGCTCCGTGGGGAAAGGATTGGATGGAGCATTCAGGGGGCCATGGTGGATCCACAGCTCCTTCGTGGTGCAGAAGGACTTTGCAGGAGGGCCGCGCTGCACCCCCAGGTCTTTAATCGTGCAGTAAGTGTGGGATGTGGCAACTTCAGGGCGCAGCTCTACTTCCTTGGTGGTGCAGAACGTGGAGCGTTGTTGGGGGCTTCGGAAGACGCAGAGATGTGTGGTATGACTTTGTGTTGAATTCCCCAACCTCAACAGCGGATGCTGCACCTCTTGGGTCTGCAGTGAGTTGTGTTTTGTCACACACATCCACACCAGGCAGCAAGCTAAAAGCAGCACAGACAGGAGCAGCAGAGCCAAGCAGGCCAGGTAGAGCACCCAGCGCAGGAGACAGCAATGGCTCAGCACCCAGTGCTCCCAGTGCAGACCCTTCACAGCTGCCTGCGAGTGCAGCACGGATGGAGTCTGTGCTGGAGTGGAGCACGGGCAGAGCAGGGGAGGGGGAAGCGGAGGAGATGGGCGGGGGAAGTGCGTGGTGTCCAGGGGAGCAGACAGCGTAGGGGTGTGAGCAGAAAGCGTGGTGTTGGGGACCACCGGTGTGGGGACGTCAGAGCAGAAGGTGAAGATGTGGTGATTGAAATGCTCTCTGGCTCGGTGGAGGAAGGCAGAGCTGAAGGACTGGTGGAAAATGCTCTGGTGAACGTTGTGAAAGGGCTGCTGGCAGCATGGGTGGTGAGGGTGCTCTGCCGATGGCTGCTGGTGCTGGGAGCAGCCGTCGGAGAGATGGTGGGGCTGTGCGAGGTGCTGGGGGGAGCAGTGTAAAAAGGGGCAGTGCTGGGGGGCTGCGAGAGATGCACAGTGCTGGGGGGGGTGATGGCGCGACTGGTGGATGCAGGAGGGGCGGTGCTGGGAGCCGTGGTGTGTGCAGGGGTGGTAAGGAAAGCAGTCGGGGTCAGACCGGGGCCGGCAGGGATGCCGAGGGGAGGAACGGCGGATGTGAGAGCGGGCTGAGTAAGAGCGCGTGGGGCGGTGCTGGGCTCTTTGGAGCTGGGTGGATACGTGGGGGTCAAGGAGGTCCCGTGAGGCATTTTGGGGGTCCATTCCACATCAGGGTAATCGTATTCATCCTCCTCTGCATCCCCCACGTGGCCGCAGTTGGGCTTGAAGCGGACGATGGGCTTGTGCTGGTGCTCGTCGGGGCTGCGGCACAGCACCTTCTCCGGGGCCAGCTCCACCTTCGTCTTCCCCAGGCCGCGCTCGGGCTCGTAGACGCTCCCCTCGTTGCCGAGGATCCAGGAGCGCAGGTAGAGCAGGTCGCAGTCGCAGTGCCAGGGGTTGTCGGTGAGGAAGACGTAGGCGAAAAGGTGCCACTCGGGGAAGAAGCCGGAGGGCAGCGCGCGGAGCCGGTTCCCCGACAGCCACAGCGTCTCCAGCTTCTCCAGGTCCTGCAGCAGCCCGGCGGGGAGCTCCTCCAAGGCGTTGTCCGACAGATCCAAGTCCTCCAGCACCCGCAGCCCCGCGAAGGCGTCCTCGGGGAGCGTCTGCAGCGCGTTGCCCCGCAGGTCCAGGTCCCGCAGCCGCGGCACGGCGCGGAAGGCGGCGGGGGCCAGAGCGCGCAGCTGGTTGTGAGCCAGGGCCAGGCGGGTGAGCGCGGGCAGGACGTGCAGGGCGGGCAGAGCCCGCAGCGCGTTGCGGGACAGCAGCAGCTCCTTCAGGCTGGGCAGCGGGTCCTCGGCGTGCACGGCCCGCAGGCCGTTGTCGGACAGGTCGAGGTCCTGCAGGGCGGGCAGCGGCCGGAAGGCGGCGGTGGAGACGGACTCCAGGCGGTTGGCGTTGAGCAGCAGGATGCCCGTGTCCTCGGGCAGGCCGGCGGGCACCGCGCCGAGATCGCGCCCGGTGCAGTTCACCTCCACGATGTCCTTCACCTTGTTCATCTCCCACGGGCAGGGCGGCGGCGGGGCGGCGGCGGCGGGCGGCAGCGCTGCGAGGATCAGCGGCAGCAGAGCGGGGAAGCGCGCGGCCTGCGGGGAGAGCCGAGCTGCGGGCGCCTGCGGTGCGGCCCCGGCCCGCCGCGCTCCTGCGCCGGCCGTTCTGGAGTCCGCGGCCCCGACCTCCTCCGGCCCCGCCCAGCCCCGCGGACAGCAGGCTCGGAAAGCGCCAGCTCTGCCCTCGTGCCCTCCTCCAAAGCGTGAAGGCGCCCCGCGTGTTGCTGCCCCCCAGGCGGCCGTTCCAGCCTCGCTGCTGCAGAAGCAGGGGCTCAGAGGCGTCTCTGCAGCCTCACGCTCCCGGTCCTGGGAAGCTGTGCCTGGGCTGGAAGGGGCTCCCTGAACACGCTTCTGCCCACAAGAGCCCTCTGCCACACTTGTGTTCGTGGGCCAGGAGATGAAGCGCAGGACCAGAGCTTCCTCTGCGCAGGTGCTCATGGCCCGAGCAGCCAGAGCGCGAGCACCCAGACTCAGAGCATATGGACCCCGAGCACCCAGACCACCCAGACCCAAGGGCCACCGCTCCCCTGCGCTCACCATGACCCCTCAGTGTCTGCTCTCCTGCTGCGTTGCCTCCCGTCTGGCAGCAGAGGCTGGACAGGCCCTGTATCAGCACCCGCAGCTGCTGGGAGGGAAGCTGTGGTTTGTGGAGAAGCCGAGCTCATCTGCCCTGCTTCCACACCACCTCCTGCTTTCCCTGTGCTGCCACATCACGGCTCCTTGCAGAAGTCTCCACCCAAGTGCAGATCAGCTCCGTCATTTCTTGCTTCCGCACCGTAAAGGGGTGAGGATTGCGCACAGGAGCAGCCCCAAAGGGGCTTTGCACCCCAAAGGCTGGGTCACTTCCAACCCTGGGACACGTGTCCCTTGCACTGAGAGCTGCCCCTTGCCCTGCCTCAAAGCAGCTCCTTTGCAGCTCTCCCTGGCTTCCAGCCCCCCACCTGGGGACGGCAGCCTGGTGGCGAAGTGGGGAGAGCTGGATTCTGCGCGTGACCTCAGGGTTGGTGGTGTCCAAAAGGGCTCCTTTCTTTCTGACTTGCCAGGCAAGAAGGGGATGGATGTGCTGGACTGCAAGGCAGCTTTAGCACTGCTGGGAGAAGCCACAGCACAGAGCGGGCAAGGAGATTAGAGGCAGAGGAAGGAGCTGGGCTTGGCAGATCTTCCTGCTCTCAGTTCCTACAGCCAAGCTGTCTCTGCCTCCCAGGTCACCACAGAGCACTTCAGGGCTCAGGCCGTGGGGTCACACAGAAGCTCCAAGGGCGGATGTTGACCAGGATGGTTTTTGCATTGGTTCTCCATTCTGTGGACTCAGCGGTGAATCCCAGCCAGCAGCTAAGGACCCACTGCTTGCCCACTGACCCCCAGAGCAGGAGAGAGGAGAGAACAGGAAGAATAGAACTCCTGGATTGAGATAGTGAGAGTTTAATAAAGGCCATGAGAAAAAGCATCAGCAAAACCCCCAAGTGATACAAAGGCACTTTGTTTGTCTTACCACCTCCTGCCAGCAAACCGGTGCTCAGGCAGACCCTGACCTCGGTGCCACAGAATCATGGAATGTAATCACAGAATGGTTTGCAGCCATGAGCTCTCCTCAGAGCTTCTCTCCTCCCGGCTGAACAAGCTTAGCTGTCCTCCATAGGAGTGGTGTTCCAGCCCTCTGAGCACCTTCATGACCTCCTCTCGGCTCTCCCCAACAGATCCACATCTTTTCTATGCTGGGGCCTTAGAGCGGAGCACAGGTGGAACCTCATAAGAATGGAGCAGAGGGGGAAATGACCTCCCTCAATTTGCTAAATGCAATTCCTTTCTCAAATTCTCACCCCCAGCTTAGGTAGTCCTACATTTATTGTCTCTGAAAACAAGCAAACATCTTCAACCTAAAGTGTTCATAAGCAAGACTTCTTCCTCAAATCTATTTATAATTCACAGTCCAAGTGTTTTGATTCTCAGAACTGTCCCCAAATATTCTTATATATCTGAAATGAATCTTGATTTTTGTCTGACTGATGCTGCCCGCCTGTGAGTCCCCCCAGCTCCAGATTTAGCAATATTGATCAAGGAGCCAAATTGCAGCCTTAGTGTTCAGCTTGCAGTGAGGGAGTTGGAGGCAGTGGTTTCCAACAGAATGCATGGGGTAGGAAGGGAGAGATCAGATGTTCCCCCCTCTTACAGTCCCCAGGAATAAGACTGCACATGATTTCCTCTCCTGCACTGCAGTGCTCCTGCTCCCTCGGCATGGGAAGTTCGGTGCCGGCTCCAGTACCACGATTCCCCTCTGCTGGCTGCTGTGGTCTGCGCACCCTCCTCAGCTCTGCCTCATTCTCCCCTCCTGATTTGCCTGAAGCATCTAAAGGTGAGCTTTACCAATGCACGTGGGTATGCGATGTGTGTGTGCATACACACGAATGCACTGTTAGTCAAGTTGTAGCAGGGAGGCGCTGTGTTTCTCGGTAGCACCCAGTAGTTCTGGCAGGGTTTGCTTTTTGTTTTGTGCAGCCTTTTGTCACTGTGAGACTGCTGAAAACCCATCTGAATACGGATCTTACTTACTAACATGTTTGCCTAATTGCAACGGACCACATTTTATAAAAGGGAATGCGTTGCACCACTGTCACTGCTCTCTCTTTGAATTAGTTTTTACTAATTAAGAAACAATGACTCATAGTAGCAGTGAAGCATTTCCCTGCATGCTATTTTGCAGTACTGCATTCTTCATTAGTGCTTGCCCTCCCACCACCATACCTGCCCTGTTACTCCTGTCTGAAGCTACTCTTAGCTGGACGTCTTACTTGCAATCATGATGTGCTCCTCAGGTGGCTTCTCCACTTTCCACTTGCAGGATCTCAAGCTGCTGCACAGGTAAAGGAGGAGAATGGGGAAGATTTCAGTGTCCCCACTTTGGCTCTGGCTCCTCTTGCAGTGCTCACATGAGGGGTCCTGCTATAGAGGAGGCTTTTTCTTGTGTATTCCAGCAAACACCTGGAGAACCTTGCTGCAAGCTCAGGCTGCATCTCTGAGCTGTTCCTTTTGGACTTCTCTGCAGTGAGGCTCAGTGCTCCTGGGCTGAGCGTGAACAGACTTTATTTGTGTTGCATACAAGTGTATGCTCATTCATTTCTGGAATTGAAAACACACTTGGCAATACAGGTAAAGCCTTTATTTGGAAAGGTCCATGCCTGCTGGACATCAGATGAGTGAAGGAGCTGGTGTGACAGCACGCCTGGCCTCAGATGAAGCATATACCTAACCCTAACCAGCCTTGGGCAGAGGTCCAGAGAGGTTACATCATTTACCTTTGGAGGTGGAGATGGCAAATTCATCCCAACTGATAAAGGCTGGTTGTTTAGCAGCAGGGATCAATCCCAGCAGCGCCTTCACTTTCCTCCTCCTCTTCATCAGGGCCACATTTTGAGCTGTGTACCAGGACCCAGCCAGAGCCAGGGGTGGACTTTTATCCCATGGAATGACACCGGTGGAAATGTGAAGATGGGGATCTCCTCATCCACGCTGAAGAACGCCACCCGGCCCAATTCATAATCCAGAGCGATCCGGACCCGCGTGGGAGTGTGAACATCGGGAAGGAGCGTGCGCTGCGGAGATGTGAGTGCCTGGAACTGCCCTGCCCACTGCCCCACGGCCCAGATGCCTTCCTCTGGGCCGAACTCAATCTCCCCTTTCCTCCTCACGTCTTCTCGACAGACGCCCACAGTCCAGCCCCCTCCATCCAGCACCACCTCCACCTCCCAGCAGTGCCTCCCCGCCGTGAAGCCCTCGCAGCCCAGCACGCAGCGCCAGGGATCGAAGCGCTCGGGGCGGCTGGGGACGTCCTGGCGTCGGTCTGTGCGCTTCACACTCCTGCCATCATCAGCCAGGATCAGGTCGCAGTGGGCAGTGCCTGCATCCAGAACCACCTTCGCTGTGGGCAGAGGGAGGCACGTGTCGGGCAGAGCTCTGCTGCTGGGGAAGAAGGGGAAGGGCGCAAAGAAGCGGGAAGACGTGCAAAGCATTGGCGTGAGGAGCAGAAAGAACTGCAGAGAGCCCAGAGCGGAGAGGAGAATCGTGGATCATAGAATCATAGAATGGCCTGGGCTGAAAAGGACCACAAAGATCATCTAGTTTCAACCACAGGCAGGAGGAGGAACAGCAGCACAACTCCCAGCTGAGCAAATCCTCACATCCCCAGAGCAAGACCAGCGCTGCTCGCTGGGGCCCAGGGCTCTCAGATGTGCCTTGGGGAGGGGCGTGCATCAAGCAGGGCCGTGAGCACAGCACTGCAAAGTGTGAGCATCCCAGCATCACTGCAGGGGGGGCAGGGGGAAATGAGGGTAAAGCAAAGAGGGCTCAGCCCCCAGAAGGCAGAGCTTCAATTACCATCTTCAATCGGCGCTGCATATCTTCTCCACACTTGAAAAAACATTAGAAAACAAACACGGATGAGAGAGAACCCGAACGCACCCATGGCACCAGTTTGCCTGGGATGATGACAGGCCACGTGCTGCACATTTCCCAGATTGGTGGTGCGTTTGTGAAAGTCATTTCATGGTGTGTGACTTCCAGCCTTCGGTGTCTGGTGATGAGAAGTGCCCCATGCAGTTCTGATAAATGCAGCCCCGTTGCTGGGCCTGACTCACATGTGTACTTACTGTCTGTGTGTGCCTTCTTTGCGAACAGGAAGCATTTTTTTTTCTTAGTATAGAAGAAGTACAGGAAGTAACTTAAAATATAAAGGATGGCAATGCTTCTGAAGTGAGTTCAGCATCTGTCACCTCTTCATTTCCCAGCAGCAGACCCAAACCAGGGTGTAAATGCAATACTCAGGGGAAAACGGACCAACTGAAACATCTCCCACATAGGAAGAGGAACGTACTCACCAAGTTCCTCAGCTTGTTTCTCTGCAAAACAAGGAACGAGCACAGATGGGAGCGGGCACCAGCTGGGACATCACCTCTCCCACAGCCGCCTGCGTAGAATGAGCCTTACCAATTTTGGAGTCACGGTCTCCTAAGCAGCAAAGAGAAAGACCCCCCGTTAGTGATGGACCCGCGGCACTGGGGGCAGCTGGAGGGCTGCATGGAGCAGTGCAGGGGGATTCTACCAGAGAGGATGGGACTTACGCAGCTCTGCGGCTTGTGCTGCTGCAAAGAGAACCAGAGGAACTCGTTACCATCACAGCAACACAAAATGTGAGACCCCAACCTGCCGCCTCTATCAGGAAGGGGCTTTTGCAGAGCAAATCTCTGCCAATATACAGCACCCTTGCTCTCTCTTTGCTTGTGCCATGAGCTTACTTAAAATTGCAGCATCATTTCACAATTTCATCCTTTTGTCATTTCAGAAATCAGTTCCTTAATTTTCTTGGCTGCTCTGTACCCCTTTGCCTCCACCACCCCATCCTTAAGATAATCAGATAATCATTATCCTTGTCTAATCAGTCAGTGGAAATTCTCCAGCTTTCCAATTCGTGGCAAAGTGGATCTTACCTATTTTTTTCTCATGCTTTCCTGTGAATAAAAACAGAAGAAAGAAACATCAGCGGTTTAAAAAACCACGCTGGTTATCTACATCTGCAGCTCCAAACCCACACAAGGCAGTGGGTCCAAATGACCCCAGAGGGGTCCCTGCCCCCCAGACCTCCCCAGAGCCCGAGCAGCGAGTCAGAGAGGGGCCCCTGCCCCAGCCCAGGGCTGTACCTTTCATTTTCAGCAGATAAACAGCAACGATGGAGAGAGCGACCACTGCAACCAGTACCAGGCTCAGGGCGATCTTCCACGGTCTGGCGTTTTGGAAAAAAGGATCTGAAAAATAAAAGAGCCCCGTAGGGCTTCGGTTACCCTGCAAGCGGTGACAGGACGCAGATTTATGTCTGTTCCAGGGAAAAGACAGCCTGTGCCCGCAGCATCGTGCTGCGCTTACCTGCGACGGAGAACAGGGACTCCTTCTCCTGGTTGTGCAGCGCAGCCCTGACCACGCAGGCCAGCTCCTGGCTGTCACCACTGGCGAGGACGAGGACACTCTCTGCTGTGTAGAGGCCACCGCCATCCTGGGTGAGGTTTTCAGAGAGGGAGGGCAGCCACTGCCCACGGGGGTCCCGCCACAGCAGCTGGGGCTGCGGGAACCAGCCTGCAGAGCGGCACGCCACGCGGATGCCGCCGTCCTGGTAGCGCTGCAGTGCGATGAGCGGGGCTGAGCCACTGGCTGCAGGAAACGGTGGTTGTGGGTTATTATGGGGAGGGGGTGATGCTGGGTACGAGGTTGGGGGATAAGCAGCTCGTGGCAGGGGGTGGAACCGAATCACAGAATCACAGAATCGCCAAGGTTGGAAAGGACCTCAAGATCACCCAGTCCAACCATCCACCCGTCCCCAATAGCTCTCACCAAACCGTGTCCCTCAACACAAAGTCCAGACGTTCCTTGAACACCTCCAGGGTCGGTGACTCCACCACCCCCCAGGCAGCCCATTGCAGCGCCTGCCCACTCTTTCAGAAAAGCAGTATTTCCTCACATCCAGCCTAAATCTCCCCTGGTGCAGCTTGAAGCCATTCCCTCCAGTCCTATCACCAGTTACACGAGAGAAGAGGCCGACCCCAGCTCACCACAACCTCCCTTCAGGTAGTTATAGAGAGCAATGAGGTCTCCCCTGAGCCTCCTCTTCTGGAGGGCTTTAAGGCCCTCCCAGCACAAGCTGTTCTATGATGTTTTGTGTTTATGCACACAGAGAGCACCCAAGTTCTTATCCAGTCTTCTCCATAAACATCTGCCCTGGAGGCTGCTATAAAGTAATCCCCAGGTCTGGATATTAATATATAAAAGCATATTTTACTTTATTGCCCACTGCCTTTTTTTTTTTTTCCTATACCCATTTTTATATTAAGAAAATAATTTCAACACCATGTCTTGTGGGCAGCACGTCTCATTGGCCACGTGTGGCTGTGCAGCGGACACCTCCACCTCTCTGGGACAACTTGGTGAGCAAAGTCACAGCCTTGTGGAGTCACAGAACGGCTTGTGTTGGAAGGGACCACCAGGATTCCCTGGAAAAGCACGTGGGGTGACTGCGTGGGTAAAAGGTGGGAGAGAAGAGCGGGATGAAAAGTGGGGTGAAAGATGGGGAAGGAGGGCGGATGAAGGATGGGTGAGATTAGGATGAAGGTTGGGAGAGAGGAATGGGATGAAGGATGGATGAGAAGAATGGGATGAAGGGTGGGATGGAGGTTGGGAGAGAAGAATGGGATGAAGTGTGAGATAGAAGAATGGGATGACGAATGTGTAAGGAGAGTGGGAAGAAGGGGTGGAGAGAAGAGTGCTGGCTGTGAGCAAGCAAATCAGAGGTACTGGGAGGAGCCCCCCACAGAAGACAGGGACGCAGATGAATCATGAGAACAGCTTTTCCATGCTGTGAGAAGAGCTTTTTCACATAACTTGAGTGGATACAAGCTGAAGGACAAGATGCTTGCGTACAAGTGAGCTCAAGAACAGAATGCAGAGGCTGTGGAAACTCACAACTCGCCAAACAACGATAAGAAAGAAGGGTAGACACCCCATTATCGAAGACAGGAAAGTGAAACAGGTGCCTCAGCTCAACACAACACCCCCCAACCCCTTTAAAGATTGAAAGTTCACATCAAGAAAAACGGTTAGCCTTTATCTGATGACCACCAGAGACCCCCGCCGTGTTTTAGGATGCACGCTCAACAGGGCAGAACAACATAATTCCTCAGAATTCTGCCCCATTTTCTTGTAGATAATGAATATCTATATGTTATATCTTTAAAAATGCAACCACTGCTTTTCTCAGCGTGTGCCAGCAGGAGATATCCGCCTCGCACCCAGCAGAGCGAACCCACAGAATCACAGAAATCACAGAATCACCCGGGTTGGAAGGGACCTCAAGGATCATGTAGTTCCAACCCCCCTGCCCAGCAGGGCCACCAAACACACATTCAGATCAGGTTGCCCAGGACCCCGTCCAACCTGGCCTTGAACACGTCCAAGGACGGGGCATCCACAACCTCCCTGGGCAGCCCGTTCCAGGGCCTGACTGCTCTCCTTGTAAAGAACTTCCCCATAACATCCAACCTAAATCTTCCCTCCTTCAACTTGGATCCATTTCCCCTAGTCCTGCTGTTGTCAGCCCTTTGGAAGAGTTTACTCCCCTCCTGGGTGTAGGTTCCCTTCAGGTATTGATAGGCTGCAATGAGGTCACCCCGCAGCTTCTCTTCTCCAGGCTGAACAAGCCCAACTCCCTCAGCCTGTCCTCATAGGGGAGGTGCTCCAGCCCCCTGCTCATCTCAGTCGCCCTCCTCTGGACCCTTTCCAAAATCTCAATGTCTTTCTTGTGCTGAGGGCTCCACACCTGGACACAGGACTCCAGGTGGGGCCTCACAAGAGCTGAGTAGAGAGGGACGATCACCTCCCTGTCCCTGCTGACCACCCCTCTCCTGATGGAGCCCAGGATCCCATTTGCCTTTCGAGCTGCCAGAGCGCACTGCTGGCTCACGTTCAGTCTCTCGTCCATCAGGACCCCCAGGTCCTTCTCTGCCGAGCTGCTCTCAAGGCCCACTCCTCCCAGCCTCTACGGGTGCCTGGGGTTCTTCCAGCCCAAATGCAAAACCTTGCACTTTGCCGTGTTGAACCCGTCTGCTTCAGAACCTTCCATGGGTTGCAGTTTGGTTCGGCGCATCGCAGACCACAGACCTGTGACCTGCAGCTCCACCGCAGCCTCGTCATATCCCTGATCAGTGCGAACAAAGCAGGTGTAGCTCCCTCTGTCAGACAGCTGGACGCGGAGGATTCTCAAGCTCACGCTGCCATTGGCGAGGCGCATTTCCGTGCGCCCTTGGTATCGAAGCTCCTGGTCCCCATACTGGTCCTGGCCATCCCTGTAGCGATGCACGAAGGGCGTGAATTGGTCCCTAAACCACGTCACCTCCATGTCCTGTGTGCTCTGCTCCGGGGACAGGCGGCATGGCAGCACCACGTCCTGCCCCACAGCCACGGCCACAGGGTCAGGGGGGCCCTGCACGCTGAACGGGGCTGGAAGAAAGCAAGAAATCACTGTGAGTTGGCTGAAAGCCTGTGCTGAAAGCTTGTGCTGAAAGCCTGTGCTGTGCCACGCCATGGGCAGAGCAAACACAGCCATGGGGGCTCATACCTGACTGCAGCTTGTGAACGTGGAAAATGGCACTGTAAATGACAGCAGCCAGCATAGGGCAGTGGAGGCAGCAGCCAGAAAACATCGTCTTCACGAAGCCCACCCTGAGAATGGAGAAGGGAAGTGAAGGGAGAGCAGAGAGGTGAGAAGAGAAGCAGGGTGGCAGAACATTATGGGGGGTGACGTACTTTTAAAGGGATTATTTTGCTGCTTTTGGCACAGTTTTTATAATAACCAGCCTAAGGTTGGAATCCCCAAGATTGAACTCGATTTTACATCAGCAGCCCAACTTTGCCACTTTCCCACTGCCTTAAAGAAGACGCCGTACCTTGTCCTTTGTTGAGAACAAATCTAAAACCTGTTGCAGCAGATGGGTGCTTTGTGCCCAAAGCAGCACGCACTGTGCTTTGAATCTGGAATTCTTGCTGCTCTTATGCAGCCCTGAATTAGGAGTTGGAAACATTCAGGATGGCAACGAGAAACCTGACGGAGTGCCCACGGCAGTGAGTCCAAGCTCCTGGCCCAATCCCAACGGGGATGCTCACAGGGATGATCCCCACTTTGGGATGGGGATGGAAGGAGCACAACAACCGCAGCCAGCCACCCCCCAGCCCCAAGCTTACCACTCGTGCAGTCCTTTCTCTGCCAGCGGGGGTGGAGGGCAGGGAGCAGGAAATGCAACCGCTGAATGAGATCTCACAGCCGGGACGCCCATTTCCTTCTGCACCTCCTCCATTCAGAAACGAAAGTAACAGAGGTATTTGGGCATTGCTGACGGGAGGATTTGCTCTGGAAATGCTGTTGCTGCTTGGGGGTTGCTGGGGGCTCACACAGCAGCGGGACACGGAGCACACAAAGGCACAGACCTGGCCCACACTGGGGAACGGAGCCGACGGCTCAAAATAAAAGCGTTTGTGCTGATAGGGCGTGCATCACTTCGAGAAGCGTGGCTTCTGCAGCTCATAGGGATGCTGATGATGTCAAGCATGTGGGCAGGGAGGAACATGCAGGGGAAGAGAGTGGGAAGGGCAAACCCTGGGGGTAGAAATTCCACGGGATGGGCTGAGCTGGGGTGAAGGCATCACTCCTGGGCACATGAAAAAGTGCCTGTAAAGGGGGGAGGAAAAGGGGGAGGGCACAAAGACCAGTGTGCACCATCCCCCATTACCAGATGAGCAATTCAAGCCCTGCCAACGTCTCTCCCCTCAACCCATTGGCAGCACAGCACAGCTGGGTAAGTCTGTAAGGAGCCAAAGCTCCTCCATCTGACTCCGCACAACCCGGGCACCCGATAAGCTGGTGTCCCCAGCTGACGTCCCACCCGAGCACAGGGGACCCAGCAGGGCTCAGAGCTCCGTCTGGCACAGACGGCTCTTATCACCAGCCTGCAGGTGGCCGAGGGGAGGGGAGATGCAGGGATTCCCACGATGCCTCTCTGCAAACAGCATGGGGACACTGTGGGAACACTCCTTTCTAGCCGCCATCTGATGAGGTCCGGTGAGCAAACTGAAGGTGTCTGGACCCATCTGAACCCTTCTTTCCCACTGTCAGCCTGCAGTGAGTGCTGACTGTGCTGGGATGCTGTGACTTCTCCAGCATTCCCCAAGCTTCTGGAAAAGAGGGTCCCCTTTATCATCTTCACATGGTCTCTGTGTCCCACAGTTTCCACTTTCAGCGGGGGCCATGTCTCTGCTCCTGTTGACGTTCTGCAGAAATGCTCATTTCCAAGATGGAGGGAGAAGAGATGGAGACCTTGGCCAATGAAGAGGAGGAGAGGAGAGAAAGAGGTGAGTTTTTAGAGGCGACTGTGCTGTCTGGGAGAAAAGCGCGTCCTGCTTCTGCTGTGAAGAGATAGAAATAGAAAGGGGCAAAGCTCCTGGGGGTTGTCATAAGGCTGAGACTTGGTGATCCCTCCACCCCCAGCTGGATTCCTCTGGCTTATCTGTAGACCCACCAGCAGCACCAGGCACCTGAGCTGCCATCCTGGCTCCCACCTCTGCACACAGAGAGGAAGAGGAATGTGAGGCCATGGGCGATCAGTCCTGGGCTCAGAGTCGCGTTTTGTGCTGGTCTGTGCCCAGGTGTGCCTGCTGCTCTCTTGCAGCACGAGGAAAACCCACACTCAGGGCCAGGTGTCTGCACAGCAGGTGCAGCTACATCCTCCAGGAAAGGGGATCCCCTTGGCCAGGGATTGCATGGGAAGCCCCAGAGAGGGCAGGACCAGAGCAGCTCGAGCCTCGGGCAGCCCAGCACAGAGAGATCCTCACCCCACGATGGAGATCTCTGGACAGGGGGAAGGAATTCAGCCCATCCCTTCCTTTGCTGGGTGGGTTCAGCCCTGACATAACATGGGGTTCTGCGTGTCCTGAGCGGCTTCTCCTCTGTCCCCAGCTGATTTCACCCTGGATCCGAACACCGCCAACCCCTTCCTGCTCCTGGCTGACGATGGGCGAGATGTGAGACGTGGGGAGGTGTGGGCATCACTGCCCGATGGCCCCGAGCGCTTCGGCACGGAGCCGTGCGTGCTGGGAGACCGCGGCTTCTCCTCGGGGCAGCACTGCTGGGAGGTGGAGGTGGCCGACGGTGGTGACTGGTGGGCAGTGGGGGTGGCCCAGCACTCCGTCAGGAGGAAGGGGGTCCTCAGTTTTACCCCCCAGGAGGGGATCTGGGCTGTGGGGCAGTGGTTCGGGCAGTACTACGCTTTCACCTGCCCTGACTGGACAGCCCTGCGCCTTGCCCAGCTGCCCAGGGCCATCCGGGTCTCCTTGGACTTTGGGGGCAGGCAGGTGGTATTTGCTGATGCTAAAAGCAAAGACCAGATCTTTGCCTTCTGCCTGGCCTCATGTCCCGAGGAGATGCTATACCCGTGGCTTTGGGTGGGAAAAGACTCGTGGCTGAAGCTGTGCCCCTGATGTAGAGGGAGCACGGAGGGCAGGAGCAAAACTGGAAAGAAGGAAACCATCAGCCTGGCTCTCAGTGCGGGGCACTGGGAGAGCTGCACATCCTCGCTGGTTGGTGATTCCTCACGTGGTCCCTCTGGCCACCAAGCAGAAGGTCAGTGATGGATGGGGAACTGGAAGGTCTTGGGGATGGATGCCACACAGGAGCTTCTCCATCCCCCTCCGCCCCACAGCAGGGGAGGCTCTTAGGAGATCACTGCAAGGGGACCCCGGGACTGAGAGGTGGCGCATCGGCTCTGTGCGTGGCCATGAGAAATACAGCAGATCCAAAGGCCTTGAAAGCTGCTGAGTGCCACGTCTGTTTTTTTTCAGATAAGCTCAATGGTGAAGTAAAAAATGTAAGAACACAGCTGGGTGCTGGAGCTCATGATAACACTTATCTGCTCCATGCATCTGAACCCTCTCTCGGCCTTATTTCCAGCTCTCACTGATGTGCATTGGGCACACGTGTCTTCCTCCACACTCCTTGCAGCAGGGCACTGGGAAAAGCTGGAGGGATGGGCAGGGAAAGTGAGGCAGAAACGGTGGTGTCCAAAGTCCATAGGCCAGATCACTCCTATGGACTTGCCATGCTTGGATCTCCATCCTCCCTCCAGCTTGGTTTCCTTTTCCTCCTTCAGTCTTTCAGCTGTTCAAAAACACACTGAAACAACCCAGTTCAACCTCTCCCAGGAATACACCTGGAGCAATTTGCTCAGGGAAATTCTACCCCTAGAAGCTGATCTGTTACAGTTCCTTTACCAGAAGCAGTCAAGGCAGATATGCATCAGGAAGTTGAACTTCCTTCCTGGTTTGCCAGGAATTTACTGTTGGGATCCAAGAAAACCAATTAATATCAGGAGAGGATTGCTGAAGATGCACGCGTACCACGCAGCAGCCGGTTTGTTTCTTTCCCTTCTTTGCCTGTCAGGAAATAAAGGATGTGAGCAGTGCATCCCTGATATGTGAGCAATCTGCCTATTTTGCTGGGCAGAAATCTTTGCAATCCCAAAGCAACATCACGATAAAAGGGAAAAAGCAGCACGTATCTGTCCAGAACATCACCAGCATCATAGAGAGGAGATGAACAGAAGTCTGTTTTTGTGAGATCCTGGGCAGCAAAGCTCTCACGCACGCCAGCAATTTTGGCGCTATAAAAACGAGGGGGGAAGTTTCTCGTGTATGTCTGCAGTTTAGAATAATACAGGATAATAAACTGAGTGTTTGAAAGAGGCCTTCCCCCAAATCTCTACATGTTTCTTGGTTGAACTCATGGCTGTGGGGCCGGGAGGGGTGGGGGCTGCACCTCTGGGGCCTTTTGTTTTCGGTACCACAGCGACTCTGGGGGCTGGGAGAGAATTGGGGCTGTGGGGAACCCAACACTCCTGGACCCCAGCAGCTCTGGGAACCCCTGACAGCTTCCAGACCTTCCCAATGTATCCGAGACCCCCAACAGCTTCTGGCCCCAACAGCTCTGGAACCCCAAATGCTTCTGGCCCCACCTACAGCTCTGAGACCTTAACAGCTCCGAAACCCCCCGACATCTTCTGGATGCCCCCCACCTGGTGGCTTCAAGACCCCCTGGCAGCTTTTGGACTCTGACAGCTCTGAAACCCCGACAGCTTCTGGAGTCCCCCAGCAGCTTTGAGAGCCCCAACAGCTTCTGGACCACATCCCCACCACACGACAGATTCGGGACCTCTCTGACATAACCCAAGACTCCAACGTCTCTGAAACCCTGACAGCTTCTGGATGCCCCCATGACATCTCTGAGACCCTCTGAGAGTTTCTGGACCCTGACAGCTTCTGAACTTCCCCACCCCCACAAGTGCTTCAGGAACCCCTGATGGCTTCTGGACCTCCCTGATGTATCAGAGACTCCCGACAGCCTTGGGATCCTGACAAATGAAGTAGCCAACTCATGAGAACCACGAGCAATCCTGTGAAAAAGCACGTTTTCATGCCAGCCATAACGATTTAGATCTTTCCACAATAAGAATTTTCTACTCGCTTCATTAAGTCAGTATTTCTTTCCAAGATCACAGAATCACATGACTGCAGGGTACGGATGGAACCTCTGGAGACCACCTCATCCAAACCCCTGCTAAGGAAGGCGATCGTCCCCCTCTGCTCTGCTCTTGTGAGGCCCCATCTGCAGCACTGCGTCCAGGGCTGGAGCCCCAGCACAAGAAAGACAGGGAGCTGTTGGAGAGGGTCTGGAGGAGCCACAGAGATGAGCAGGGGCTGCAGCACCTCCCTACAGAGACAGGCTGAGGGAGCTGGGCTTGTTCAGCATGGAGAAAAGAAGGCTGGGGGTGACCTCAGTGCAGCCTGCAGTGCCTCAAGGGAGCCTGCAAACAGGAGGGGAATCAACTCTGTGCAAGGGGAGATGGCAGCAGGACGAGGGGAAATGGTTTGAATTGAGGGAGGGCAGATGGAGGTTGGATGTCAGGGGAAGTTCTGTGCTGTGAGAGCGGGGAGGGGCTGAACAGCTGCCCAGAGAGGCTGTGATGCCCCGTCCATCCCTGGAGGTGTTCAAGGCCGGGTTGGATGGGGCCCTGGGCAGCCTGGGCTGCTGTGAAATGGGGAGGTTGGTGGCCCTGCAGGGGGTTGGAGATTCACGACCCTTGGGGTCCCTTCCAACCCCGGCCGTTCTGTGGTTCTGTAAGGAAGATTCCCTGCAATGGGTTGCACAGGAAAACATCCAGGTTTCTGAATATCTCCTGAGAAGGAGACTCCACCACCTCCCTGGGCAGCCGGTGCCCATGTCCGTCAACTTCAAAGTAAACTCACTCCTTCTAAAGTTCAGATGGAACTTCCTGTGTTCCAGTCTGCGCCCATTGCCCCTCGTCCTGTCACTGGGCACCACCAGAAGAGCCACCCACCTGACCCCCATCCTCTAGATATCGGTAAGAATTGATCAGATCTGCTTTCACCCACTCTTCTCTTTGCTCTTCAATCTCAGCCGGAGAAGCAGAAGCTTGACCACAGAACCTCAACCCTCTCCCACACGGACGTCATCTCCTGCCCTCTCCCAGCTTTAATTGCATTCCTTCTTTCCACTTTTCCCCATTCACCCTCTTTCTTCCTGCACCCACTGTGCCAACCGCAACCACCGCCTGCTGTGAGCCACTCTGCTTTGCTTTTCCTGGGGGAGCAGTGATGGAACCTCCAGCCCGCGCCCCTCCATCCCCACCAGTAACAACACAACAGCCCCAAGTTTGTCTCACTTTTATTTACAGAATTGCACAGCCCGTTTCCCCCACGACACTGGGTCAGACACTGCTTTCCCACATCCATGAGCTGAGCTTCTCCTCTGGGAAGGAGGAGGAGACTCAGAGTCACTGCTGGGTTTCGCAGGGGCACATGCAACAGCTCCAATGATTGGCAACCACGATAAAGACAATACAGAAGAGGTGAGGCCGTGGCTGTGCAGCAGCACAGGGCCCCATCCGCCCCAACTGAGGACTTCTGGCTTTCCCAGCTGTGTGTTTGGACCATCAGTGGGTTTCCTCCTTTGAGTCCTTACACAGCTGGGAGCGCTCATCCCTACGCACCGCCAGGACGCATTGGAACACCAAGCTCCTGGGAGGCAGCCAGGCTGCACCAAGTGCCCAGGCTGTGGTTTGTCAGGAGGGACTGGATGGAGGTACCCAGGACAAGGCACAGCGTGGTGGTGCAGCACCCACAGCCGAGGGAAGGGGCTGGGAGGGAGGCAACACCTGGGGGGGGGATCTGTGGCACCCAGGGGTGGGCAGAGCCTTCCAGAGGGAGCACAACCACGGCTGTATGGCCCCACTGCAAACCTGCATGGAAGGGGAGGCAGCAGGAGGGAATGGGGAGAGCAGCAATGAGAGCCTCGTGCTGCCAGCAGACTTCCAGGACCTGGACACTGCGGGCAGGGGCTGCTGCAAGGTGCTGCAAGGTGCTGCACGGATCGTCCTGGGATGGGAGAGAAATGAAACGGACACAGCCCAGAGCTGGGAGAGGCATGGTGCTGCCTTGTATCCACCAGGGACTTCAAGCCTAGAGTCAAGAAGAGGGAAAGAACAAAAAGGGCAAGGAACATGAAAGGAAAAACAGCAAGAATGGCACAGGGAGCTCTGCGTCCAAGAAACGACAGGGCTCCATCTCAGAGGGCTCTGTCTGACCCACGTGGGCTCAGCAAAGGAGGGGCACAGTCTGTGAGCACAGCACTGCACACAGGCATCGATGGCACAGCGGTGTGGAGCTGCATGGGCAGGGAATGCCACTGGTGGCATGGAAATGAGACAGAGGGTTTGGTAGCCAGATGTGCTGGAAATGCAGGTGAATGGGGGAGGAGGAGGAATGCCAGCCCTGGAGATGGGACGTGGGGATCGTTTTGCTGGAGGACACACAGCAGGCAGGCAGCAATTTCAGGGCTGAACCAAACAGCAGCAGCTCCTCTGGCTGCTGGTATGGAATGTGCTGAGATGTCCCTGTGAGGGACTGCCAGCGAGAGGTCCGGCCTCAAGGCTGAGTGGGGACACCAGCAAAAAGACTCCAGCTCTCCCCTTTTTCCCAGAAGCTCCATTATGAGCTTCTGATAGAGAAAAATGAGGGGGGTTCAGTCATTGCTACACACCCTCAGCCCCTCCATCGACCTCTGTGGGACGTGCCAAGAGCTGAGAGCATCCGAGTCCTGGGGATGAGCCAGGACCTGCAAGGAAAGCATCCCTTGAGGCCGTGTCTGCACAGGAAAAGGTTTGCTCGTTTTGGAACTCATTCTGAAATTCTCAAAATTACAGTACTTTACAATACAAAACGTCTCCATTCAGCATTTACGCCATTTCAACTCCTTCTGGGGTTATAATAATTATTAAAAACACACAACTTTCTCTAGAAAGGACAGAAACTCCACAAAAAAAAGACCAGAGAGTAACGGGAAAGGTGGCTGCAATATTATCAAAACCAATTTAGTGCAAAGGAGAAGGGGCTCCCAAGGACGGCCGACGAGCAGTGCTTCGTTTGGAGAAAAGGCATAGATTTAACCTCTGAATGAGATCAGGCTGCCAGCTTCTATACTGAAGCTTAGAACATCGACACATAAAGGACTGAAACACAATATGCACGGCCATTAAAAAATAATATTATATATAGATATATATATATATATATATGAGATTTCCCACGTATGGTGCTATAGGTGTCCCCTGCTCTGCCAGCCGGCTCCTCCGGGCCGCTCCACGTGGCAGATGCTCCCGATCCGTGTTGGCCAAAGGACGGAGTCCCTCCAGTTGAGCTCAGCCCCACAGGCTCAGATCCGGCCCCGTTTGCTCACCCTGAAAGAGGAGCTGCTCAGACGCTGGTCTCATCCGCCGCCTTTTTCATCAGCTTGGCAGACAGCAGGGAGTGGGGCGCGGGGTGGGGGCTGCGGGTGGGCGGCAGCATGAGGCGCACCTTCTGGTTGGTCCTGCGCCACTCCGAGTACAGCTGGCAGTGGTAGCGGAACGAGACCTGCAATGGCACAGCACGGCTCAGTGGGGGGAGGCGGGCAGCCCACCTCTCCGCTCATCCCACCGGGCTCGGTGGGGACGGGGTGCTGCAGCTCCCCTACCTTTGAGGAGGGTGGGCGCCCCGTCCCTTGGGTGCCGCAGCCCATGGATGGGTTCCTGGGGCAGCCTGAGCTCGGGGGGCACCCAGCCCGTGGTGGGGTCGGGTGGCAGAGCTTTGGGGCCTCTTCTGACCCATTGCAAAGGGAGGAATTCCCACCAGGGCCAGGCGAGAGGAGGCTGAGTGCAGCCAGACCCATCTTGTAGATCCTCTCTGCCCCTTGGGAACCCTCCTCGCTCTGCACCCTGCCATCACTCAGGCTTCCCGCCTCCCTTCAGCTGCCTGCGCTGTGGCTCTGACACAGAAAGTCAGTGCTCTGGTTTTTGTAGGGTTGAGCCATCTGCTATGAGAGACTGCAGTGCTGAGGTGATGGGCTGCGTGCCACCTCCTGCTGCAAGGCCGACTGGCAATAAGGCTGTTTGCTTACAGACAAGAAGCAAACACAACTCGCAGCCTCTCACAATAAATTGAGCAAAGGGCTCCACCTCGTGTCCCTCTCTGCAAGGAAGCACAGCAGAACCACAGCAGCTGGAACCACGGCTCACTGCATCACAACACGCACTCCTCTGCTTCCTCTGGACCTCCCAGACCCCCCAGGAGAGGGAAGCAGTTCCTCTTCAGTTTCCTGAGGTTAGTTTGGCTTCCTATAGAAGTGAAGCTGCAGCAGTTCCCTGCACCTGTAACATCCCCCTGGCACTGGGATCTGCACAGGGACTTCCAAGGAATGCCCAAACCCCAGGGGAAGCTCCATTCTGAGAGATGGGAGCAATGGGTGGTGGGGAAGTGCCTAAAAATCTGACAGCTTGGAGGATCCCTCCCAGCAAGTGGCTGGAGGAGGGTACCAATGGCAGGAGCACTGCAGGGGGGAAGGGTGAAATGAAGGTCCAAGCCCAGGGACAGACAGAATGTGAAAGAACAGAATGGGAAATGGGGAACTCTGTGTTCGCCAGCCAGCTGCAGCCCGGGGCTCTCAGCCAGACGTGCTGCATGCTGAACTGCTGCCTGCTTTCCTGCCCAGCTTTGGCAGCTCCCATCTGAACATAATTAAAGGCATGTTCAAGAGGTTTCCTCCCGAGGGGGTTCAGCATCCCTTCTGAACACCACCGAGCCCGGGAGCGGCGAGCAGAGCCCTCCTGTGCACTTACCAGCGTCCAAAGGACGTAGATTGTAAAAAGTGCTATAGTCAGTGCTATGAGTCCGATGGCCTCCAGGCGGCTGTTGAACTGCAAATGGTCCTGAGCTCCGCGCAGACACAGCCAGCCCGAGATCGCCGCCAGGGGAGTGATGAACAGGAAACACACCATGTCGCAGAACAGCGTCCTCTTCTCATTGCGGGGACCGGGATCCTTCAGCCACTGCGGGATGGAGAGGAAGAGGAGGGTTAGCAGCACGCAGCGTGCCAGCAAAGCAGGGCTGCTGCAGCAGGGAGCTGCCGTGCATCTCTTGCAGCCTGTGTGCATCTGCTGCCAGCACTCAGCTCGCATCAACCGGCACAACAAAAGGGCTGAGCACTTCAAGGCTGCTTCTAGCAACCGCTGAGGGAAAGGGGAGAGGCAGCTGGGGGGCAAGATGGAAGTAAACCCAGGCTGAGCTCCAGGGGCGGCACAGCCAGCGCTCTGCGGCTGGTGCGGGGCTGTGGGAGACGTTCCTGGACAGCAGCGGCACTTCAGAGCTGCACTCCTGACTCAGGCGAAGCTGCAGCCTCAGGTCCAGCTGAGCCTGGCCGTTCCATGGGCTCTCAGGGCACAATGCTGTTCTTGGGGCTCAGCAAGCAGCAGGAGCCCAGCGGCCGCCAGCGCCATCAACAGGGAGCACAGAGAGCGCAGCCACCGTGCGCTGGGACAGAGACCCGAGCGCTGCCCATCTCAGCTCGCTCTGCAGCTCCGCATGCATCCAACGATCCGCAGCCCTTCCCGGGGGAGGTTACTGCACTGCTCGGTGTGACCGAGAGGCTCTGCACTGCCCCAAAATCAGCCGGCAGCAGAAAGCACACAGCTCTGCTGCAGGCAGCTTTCCCCCAGCAGACCTCTCCAGAGGCACAACTTCCCAGAGCCTTGACCTGCTTCCAAATTTGGGTTCATTTCAGACACTAGACTTTGACAACAGCAATTGTTCCCGTTTTCCTGGGATGCTGCTATTTTCAGCCTTTCCTTTCCTTTTTTAGAGCAGCAAGCTATTGTGGCTCCTACCAACACCCAGCAGTGCCACAGTGCATTTTACCACGAGCTTTGTACAGCTGCTGGCTGTGGGGCTGCTGGATCCTTCTCCATTTCCTGCACCACTGCCCTTATTTAAGGTTTGGGTTTTTTCTGCTCAAAAACCAAAGCTGGTGTCACCTGAGGGCTGCAGCTCTGATTTCAGTCCAAGCTGCATGGAGTTCCTGCTCCCAAGTTACCTCCGCACCCAGCTGTGAAGTTCTCTCATCTCACTGCCCTGCTCCAGGTCTGGCAGGTAATTTTGGGGCATTTTCAAAAAGGGAAGAGTTAAAGGGACAGTGCACACAAAGCCCCTTCCCCTGACACAGATGGGCTGTAGATGGTATGCAAGGAGTTAATAGGGCAGCACTGGTCGAAACAACATGGGAACAAACAGAGCTGTGCAGGCTGCAAGCTGAGGAGCACAGCTGGGGACCAAGCAATGCTGCAATGTAAAGAGCAAGTTAAAGGCATTCTTAAAGCCCTTCTGAGCATGGCTGGATGGCCTGACAGCCAGCAGGAAGTTTAAGAGTGGCCACAACTGTGGCTTGGCCAGGAGAAGGGAGGGAGACCTGCATGTCATCTTGCAGAGATGAGTGGTGATGAGCTGCGTGGGGAAGATAAGGACCACACACAGCCCTGAGCAGCCCTAGGAGGAAGCGAGGGCGGGCAGCAGCCCAGCTGCACAGCAAAGCTGCTCCTACATCACTGTGCTGGCAGCCCTGCTGTCTGAAGCCAAGTAACTCCACAGCCGTCCCAACCCCAGCCATCCCAATCCTCACCAGTCCAACCCCAGCTCTCATAAAACCTCAGCCATCCAAAGCCCCAACTCCAGCCATCCCAACCCCAAACCCCAGCCATCCTAAACTCTGCCATCTGAACCCCAAACCACAGCTGTCCCAACTCCAGCCACCTGAACCCAAAACCCAACCATTCCAACTCCACCCATCAGAACACAAAATCTCAGCCATCCCAACCCCAAACCCCAGCCATCCTACACCCCAGCTATCCCAACCCAAATCATAGCCGTCCCATCCCATAGCCATCCTAACCCCAGATAACTGAACCCCAAATCCCAGCCATCCCAACTCCAAACCCTAGCCATCCCAAACCCCAGCTATCCTAAACCCAAACCCTAACCTTCCCAAACCCAGAGATCGGAACCCCAAATCCCAGCCATCTTAACCCCAAACCCTCGCCCATCTCAATCCCAAACCCTAGCCATCCTGAACTCCAACTACCCCAACCTCAAGTCCTAGTTGTCTCAACCTCAACCCAAAGCTGGCCCAACCCTAAACCCTAGTAATTCAAACCCTAGCCATCCCAACCCCAAACCCCAACCATCCCAACTGCAAACCAAAGCTGTCCTAACCCCAAACCCCAGCCATCCCAACCCCAAACCAAACCTAAACCCTAGACATCCCAAACCTCAGTCATCTTGACCCCAAACCCCAGCCATCCCAACCCCAGTCACCCACTTGACATTCCCAGCTTCAGCCCTGCGCAGCCTGGGGCACGCAGCACTCAGCTGTTCTATCTGACCTGGCCCAGCAGCAGTCCTGCAGCATCCTGTCTTTGGATATGAAGACATCGTGGGTCACTTTTGACCCCAGTACAATAAGAACCTGAAGGCAAACTGGTATTCTGTTGCATCTTGTTCTATTTATACTCCTTGTAACCTTTGAAAGTCCCCCCATCCTCCCCAAGATGGGAGCCAAACATGTAAAGGCAGGAAGCAAATTAATTTCCTTTTGAAGCAGATGATTTCCATTGCCAAGATGCACTGACACAGTGAAAAGGGAACACAATGAGCCACCCTGAGGGCGAGGGGTTTCTGGCACAGCAGCAGACTAATGCACATGGGACTTAAAACAAACCTTGTAAACTATCCAAAAAGTGGTCAGATTAAACAATTTTTGTAGGGAGAACCGTCAAGTAAACATGGGAAAGCAACAAAAGGGCAACGTGCTCTTCTTCCAGGCCGAGTCCAAAAACAATTGCTTCCACGCTGCAAACAAGAGTGCCTAGAAGGAGATGAGAAGCTGCAACCCAGCTCCCAGACTGGGGACGACCTCTCTGCAGGAGACAAGATGTATTTCTGTCCTCCAGCACAACTCTGGGGCCTTCCAGATGTTCCTCCCCCCGGGACCAGCAGGGCTGTGGGATGAGAGGGCTGATTGTGGGGTGCGTTTGAGCCTCAGGGGATGGAAGCAACAGGAGCAGTGAGCAGAGGGAGGCTCTGGGATACCAGTAGCTGCTCTGGGAGCAATGAGCAGAGCTCACTGCCATGGAGAGGCGTCCCGGGCAGCCCAGCCCTGCACGGGGAGCAGCACATCACAGCCCAGCACTGGAACAGGCTGCCCAGGGGGGTGGTGGAGTCTCCTGCTCTGGAGATGTTCAAGACCTGCCTGGATGCCGACCTGTGCGACCTGCTGTAGGGAACTGCTTTGGCAGGGGGTTGGACTTGATGAGCTCTGGAGGTCCCTTCCAACCCCTACAATTCTGTGATTCTGTCCCATGAGCAGCTGTCCCAGCAGCGCCCAGCTCTGGGGGTTATGAACACGCTGAGCTTTGGCTCCATGCAGAGCTAAAGGGAAACACGAGAGCAGAACTGGGCTCAGCGGGAGCCAGGAGGGATTTGGTTTTGCTGGGTGCAGGGCTCGGATAGGAGCTCACACTGAGAAAGGAGAGATCAGAGCGAGGAGCTGGGGCAAGGCTGAGAGGAGCACAGGGGATGGAGAATGGTGCAGGGAGAAGAGTTCGAGGAAAGCAAAGCCCATCTGCCAGGGAGATAAGACCCCAGGGAGGGTGGGGTGAGCAAACAGCACAGCTCACTTCTCTGAACTGGACGGGGTGCAGCCAAGCTGCCCCAAAGCAGTCCTTTTCCATAGGCAAAACAATCGCTGTGCAATAAAACACACAGAAAGCAGCGGGAGCAAAACCACAGCGTGCTCCTGGGCTGCATCACACACTCAGCAGGAAGCCTCCTGCAGAAGCACAGGGACACGAGGACTCCGACCGACAAGATGTGGGTGAGGCAGATTTAAGGAGGACAAAGCAAACCCAGCCAGCCCTGCTTGGGAGCCATGTGAGCAGCCCCAGCCTGGGGAAAGCTGGGAGGCTGCCCTCCTCCTGCACTGCTCAGGACAGCAGAGATGCAGACATCTTCTGGAGATGACTCCTGAGCAGTAACCACAGGTTTTCTGTGTCTGACACTGTTTGAAATAAGAAAGTCCCCTGCTCCTACCTCAATTACTTGTTGCAATTCCTCGCGACCTCTATTCTGACTTCCCAGCTCTTTAGCAGGTGAAGGAGGTTACGCTTCCTTGGCAATCTGGGATCATCCCCTTCCCTGCATTTTCAGCTCCTTGCCCCAGCACACAGACAAAGCATCAGCCAGAATGGAGAATAACGTGTGCCATGGCAGGGATTTGGGAACTGGCTGGGATGCAGCAGGCTGTGGGGAAGGTTTGCTCCATGCAGGAATGCAGCAGGCTGTGGGGAAGGTTTGCTCTGTGGCTGTAGGTTCAAAATCACTCACACAGTGCCAGGGTTGTGGCTTTCACGGGATGGCAGAGCTGCTCCCTAATGTGTCTCCAGTTTGATGGGGCAAACAGTGGACTTTGACCACAGCTGTGACCTGGCACAGTCACATGTGAGCATCACTTCCTCACAAGTTCCAAAACACCCCCACCCCCAAGGAAGGACAGGAGCAGAGAATGTGTCAGATAAGGAGATGGGGAACCGCGTCATCCCGCCGTGACAAAGCAGCCCCATCCCCAGCCCTATTCTGAGAAATGCACCAACAGCTTGGGACTGAAAGGTCCCAAAAGCAGCTGGTGAAGAGCTGGTGAAGAGCCCAATCTGGTGTGGGGACGAGATTACAGCAAAGGGCAGACAGAGGGTGTGAGTGGGAAGTGCTGGTGAGCTGCTGGGTGCTGCCGGCTCTCTCCGAAGGGTTCTGTGCTGAGGGCATGGCTGTGTCTGGGCTGGAATGTTTGCAACCTCTGAAACAGCCAGCTGAAAGTTTTTTGGTCAGAGAGGATTTCATACATTTCAGCAGCTGGGAGAGAAGAGATAAGATTCAGAGAACACCAACTGCTGACGTAATGCCCTCCGGCAAATTGCTTTTCTAAAGACAGTGCTCTGAAGTCACCTCTGGCTGCGGCTGTCCAGGCAGCAACAGTGGGCTGTAAATTAAGCAGTCATCATTAAAATAGAACCTCAGCTTGGCAAAACACACACTGAGCGCTGCTCCAGCTATGGGACTCTTCCCCCCTGGGCTCCTCCTTGGGCTGCAGTGGAGATAAAAGAAGCAGAGCAGGGCTGCAGGGAGGAGGGGACTGGCGCTGCCCCCCGGGAACTGATAGGAATGGGAATACAGACAGCCAAAGCAACATGCAGCTGTGCCTCAGTTTAAACCCAACTGATGGAGCTGGGGGAACCACAGAGTGGGCTCAGAGCAGCACGGTTACAAACCAGAGCTTCCACTGTAGCACCCCAGGCGTGCTGTGCCACCTTCCTACACAGTCCTGCAGTGCTGTCAGAAATGCCAACCGCTATCAGTGCCACCTGCCCAGCTCCAGCCTGTTCAGTCAGTCCAGTTCTCTTCTAAACAGAACCCCTGTGCAGCCCCAGCTGGTGCCCCCAGCTCAGGCTGCTCAGGGCCCATGTGTGGCCGAAGGGCAGCTCCAGGGATGGGGCACCCACAGAAGATGTGGCCACGCTGCCCTCATCCCTCACACACAGAGGGCTTCACTGCAGGCAGCTGCTATAAACCCTGGGGCAAGAGGAAACCTGAAGGGTGAGCACAGCAGAGCCCCTGAGCAGGGGAAGCGTAGGAGCCCAGTACCCCCATGGCAATGGCCAGAGGGGGATCCCCACCCACTGTGGAGCAGCCATGGGATGCAGAGCCCCCAGGTCAGCAGGAAGGAGCCTGACACCACTGCCTTCAAGCACGCATCGGTGCTCCTCAGTGGAAGATGGGTCCTTTGCCAGCAGCACCAGCAGCCACCATCTCTCACTTTCCAGAGCAGAACACAAGGAAATCACAGACAGCTGACGTAACGCTGTGAGAAAAGATGAAAGCCAACAGGAAAAAAAACAGTAATTGCGTCTCTGAAGGCTTCGTATCTCAGGCAGTCACGCGGTGACCTCTGTGTTTGGTTGCTGAGGGCGGAGGTTTGTCTGTAAGTGCAATGGTTCCCAAGGTTGTGGGGGGGTTTGCAGACAGGGGCTGCCCCAGACGCTGCTCCTGCACCATCAGAACATCACTGGGCCCAATGAGAGCTTTGGTTTCCTACACAAAGCACCCTGTGTGAGTGCCTGGGTACCAAGAGGAGGGGGACACAGCACAGAGCACACGGACACGGGGCACATCAGCCAGAAAAGCAAAGCAGGAAGAAAGCGGTACCTCTGTCAAAGGCCTCGGTCTTCTCTCTACAACAAATTCTGTGTGGCAGAGCTCACAGTAACTTGTGTTGGAGGAGGACAACCATTTTTCCAGGCAGCTCTTGTGCACGGTGCCCAGTGTTCCTGTGCAGTCACACGGGGAAAGCAGTCCCTCCCCATTTCCACCTTCGTGACAGATTCGACAGATGGGACCGTCACTACAGAGGCAGACAGACAAACAGAAGGAAATCACAGTCAGACAGGCAGGCTGGAGAACTTCTCACCCTCCACCCCTCCCCCAGCTACAAGGTTCAATTATAGACTCGCATCTCCTTACAGAGCCCAAGATCTGCTCTGCTGGAAGCTCAGGGCACCGCAGATGCTGTATGAGGCCAGTGCTGTGCCACCCCAGCTCTTGCCCCGAACAGCACAATGCTTTCCACATGCTTACAGACCTGCCAAACCCTGCTCACCACCTCTCCACCAGCAGCAGAGCTCTGCTCCATTCGGCCACACCTCAGAGAGAAGCACAGCACCCCTCCAGTCACCTTCACTGCCCCTCCCGGCATCCTTTCCATTTCTCACACCCCATCAGAGCTGCAGCAATCGGAGCTGTGCAGCTTCCAGGATTATTGCAGTGCCTGTGCTCTGTTCTGTCCTGCGTTGCTTCCTAAATCCCAGCATTGCATTTACTTTTTGGAGACTGCTGGAGCTCACACATGGCTGCCACACAGCCATGATCTCCTTCCTCTGAACCCACGATGATGTCAAGCCAGGGTGAGCGCTCTTCATCGCACCGTTCCGCACTGAATCAATCACTGCAGGCCTTTCCAGCAAGGTTCAGCTCCTAACAACAGGCACTGGTGCCATTCTAGGTCCAAGGGCATCCCAGCTGGCCTGCAAAGCACAGGTGCACTGGAAGCCCCACACATCTGCCAGCCCCATAATGGCTCCCTGAGAAACCTCCAAGGGCTGCAGCCACAGAAGTCTGCCAGTCTGAGCAGCTCTGTGCTGCTCCTCTGCATCCAACCCTCATCAAGACCACCTAGGGACAAAAATAAGAGATGCCCACTGCAGCCCTTCCCCTCCTGAACCACAAAGGCAAGTCACTCACTGGTGCCTCCTCTCTCCCAGCTCCCAAGCAGCCACCTCTGTGATGCAACACCTTTCTCTCAGATTCGTAGCTGCACAGGTTTGGGAGTGGGAAGCAGGGGGAGAAAAGAACACCTCTTGTTGGAAGGCCCCATTCCGTGCCCTCTGAAAAACAGGATGAGCTCCACCAGCCTTTGTGCCCACACTGCCGACAGGACAGCAGCACCTCGCCTCGTCTCATCGCTCAGACACGACCCCCATTCTGACCCGTGTGGGATTCCAACGGAGCAGAGGCAGGACAAGCAATCTGCAGCCTTCAGAAGCAGCAGCACTACTTGCATTTGTTTGCACCACCTAAAGCAAGAACGTGACCCTCTGGAACAGACACAGCAATTCACAATGCACAGAAAAAGGGCTGGAAAAAAGCATTGGTGGGACAGGAAGGGCTGAGGAGAGCCAGCAAGAAAGCACACTTTGGCTCAGGAAAGCAGAAGGAAGACTTTTGCTGGAGGTGTGCAGGTTTCATCACAGTCAGATTCATGAGATCTGCCTGACGACCCCCTGGCACTGCTGTGAAGCTCAGCAATACCTCATTTACCATCAGTGCAGCGTGAGAGCAACAAAACCGGAGTCCGTTCTCAGGGCCTCAGTGCGGACCAAAAAAAACCCAGGCCCTAAGTGCTCTCACGCATCTGTTATTTCCTAATAAAAGCATCTGTAAGACATTTCATCCCTTCTCTTCCTGTTTGAGAAGTTTCATATTTCCAGAGCGTTAATATAACCTTGGCTACCCATAAACAATCCAGAAGGAAAAAATTTGCTGACAGTGCGAGAGAGAAATAAAAAAGAACAACAGCCTTCCTTCTTATCAGCCTCTGTTTTCCTTCCTTCCTATCTGGAGGAGGAGTTGCTCACCCCAAACAGTCTCAGCAGTGCGGTGACCCCAGGCTGCTCGTGCACTCACACTGTGGTTGGGGTAGGAGTGGGATGCAAGCTGGGACTGCAGGCACCGCCTGGGCTGAGTGATGCTGCAAAGCACCCTCTGTTGCAGAAGCTGCTCAAAATACTTGATGAAAAGTGTTGCAAAAGGAGTCCAAGCAAGGCAACGCGCGTCCCCTCCAGCAGCAGCTGGGCAGCGCGTCCTGCAGCACGCAGCTCCTGTCCTCGGGCTGCAGAACCAATGCTTCACTCTGAGCCCACCCTGCGAGAGGAGCTTTGCCACACACAGCCCTCAAAGCACCTGCATGCAGCACGGAGCTCTGCCTCTGCTGCACAGCTGAGTGCACACAGGGCTTTGGGGCAGCACGCGATGCCCTGTCTGACACTCCTGGCCCATGCAGGACCGCATGAAGGGGCCAAAAATTCACCCCAACGCCATCTCAGCCGACCCCCGCCACAAACAACGCTTTATTGCCACCCCCCCCTTTAGAGCCACAAAAACAGGGATAAAGCAGACGAGCAGCACCAGCCTGACCTCTGTGCACCCAGCGCCTTGATGACGGTGGAGAGCAGGCGGCCGTCCTTGGCGGTGACCTGGGTGACGAACTGCGGCCGCCCCATGTCCGAATCCTCCACCGACTTGGAGAGCGCAGCGCCGCCAGGGCAGTCGCACAGGGAGCCGGGCAGGTGGCAGCAGTCGCCCGTCGTCATCGCAGCTCCGCACCTCGCTGCCGCGGGGACCTGCGGGACGGGAAGGGCTGTGAGCACCCAGCACAGAACCCGAACCCTCGCCTCACCCCCGGGCGCCGGCAGCGCGCTTTGCTCCTCCTTCAACCCCCCGATGATTTCCACCCCCCCCAGCCTCGTGTCGCACACCTGCTTTGTCGAGAACTGCCAGCGCTCAGCCTTCAGTGGAGGCTTCCAAACCAAAGCACCCGACGTGGGGATGGCGTGAGCGCAGGGGCTGACCTAAAAGCACGCATCCGAAGCCTCTGTGCAAGCTGCAACGTCTCACTGCACACAGCCCTGACTGCTGCGCCACCCAGCTCTCCCCACCTGCGCCCAGGTGCTTTCCGACCCCAAAAGCTGCCCCTCTCCCATCTCTGACTTTCATTCTGTATTTCTTCACAGCACCAGGAGGGCAGTAGGGTGGCTGCACTCCTTCCCCTTCCAGCACTCCAAGCCCAGCGTGGTTTGTGCAGCAGCCCTTCGAGCAGCCCGCACACACAGCCAGGAGCAGACAATGCTGGCACCTCTGGGATTTACACTGAAAGAGAGGGCAGGGAGCGCAGGAACCAGGCAGGAGGTGCAGGGGCAGAGCAGAGCCGGCTCCAATGAGCAGAGCCCCACACACCCAGGAGGGCTTCCTGATGCACAGGAATGGCTGCGTTGCTCCTCCATGGGGTCACACAGAAGGTACCCAAAACCAACAGCTGCTGGAGCCCTGCAAACCACAATCCAGGTAAGCAGAGCCCTGTTCCTCCTCCATCAATCTGCAGACCTCTCCTCTGCGTTTGGAATAGGCTTCAGCTCACGGTGGGTTCAGGAATCAACCAACCAAACCAACAGGAATCTTCCCATCAACTCCAAAACGAGCGAGCACCGCCCCGACCCAACTGCTCCATCCATCTGTGCACAGCACCCAGGGCTCTGCTGCTTCTCTCACTGCTCTCCGCTGAGAACAAAGCAAAGCTACAAACTGTCCAGATCCACAGAGCAGAAAGAAAGATGATAAACGCCATCGGAATGACTTCACTCAGCTGCTCTGTGCGTCAAGGAGCTCTCTCAATTTTAAAGGCCTCTCTCTGAGGCAGACATGGGGAGATGTATGCTTTTAATAAAGAGGTCGGATCCATTTGTTCAGCCAAAACCTTGTTTATTTTTAAGTCCAGAGGATAAAAAGGTCCATTTTGTGCTCTGGAATAAAGCCACTCTCCTGTCCCTCGTGGGATCACGGTGCTGCACATCCATCAGATCCCAGCAGCCACGTGTGGGGCTGGATGGGATCCGCCACCCTCAGCCCAGCAGGAAATGCACAGCTTTCAGTTACAAGTTATTTGGCATTTCCACACCAGAGTCCATCCCAGGGTGGAGCCTGAAGTCACCACTTTAATATGTAACTGACTCACATCACTCAGGGAGCACGAAGGCAAAGCAGCAACGCAGCTCATGGAGAAGGAACCGAAATCCAAAGATAACATCTGCAGTGCTCTGCTTCCAGCTCCATACCCAGCGGACACGAGTGGGCCGTGCAGCCAGGCCAGGCCCTTCCTGGCTCACAACCAGCAGCTTGGTGGATCCAAAGCCCACCTCACCATGGGAGCAGGTCAGGGCTGGATCCACCTCCTCGCATCGAGTTGACCCAGGATGCAAACAGCTGAGCTTGCAGAGATTGCTCAAACTGAAGAGAAAACAAATGGTGGTGGTGGAAAATTGGCTTGGGAAAGCGAGCTACACAGCAGGGCTGCACAGCTCCAACACGTGCAGTAAGACAGCGAGCACCCTGCTCCAGCACAACGTCCTCCCTGAAGCCTTCCAGCCCCACTGCTGTCACCCAGAGGGCAGCAGGAGTTTCCAAACTCCCTGGAACAACTGCACAGCTCGAGAGCACAGAGACCAAGGCCATTCTGCTCCCCATCCAAAAGAAGCGCGCAGCAGGAACGAGGAAATGCTGAGCAGCTGGAGGGTCCCCACCTGAGTTCTGCATATTTGCACTCTGCAGGCTGTAAGAGAGTTATTTCTCCCAGATGGGGGAAGCACAGAGGCCAGGCAAACACCCAGCATGGAGATCAGAACAACACAGGAATGACTGCAGCAGGAAGAGGACCATGGTCACAGGGGCTGCTACACCCAACTGCTGCTCACGCAAGCTTACACCAAACCCCAGAAACAATCTTCCCACCTCTCACCTTCCCAAACCAGTTCCATCCCTCTTGGATTGCAGACACTACGCTTTCTAACCGCGTGATCACCAGCAAGGTGAGAGGCTCTCCCAGCTGCCACCAAGCATGGGATGAGAGGAGCGGCCCAAAGCACTCCTGCTTTTCAAAGGCTGCAGAGCTGGTTTGATCTATGGAAGCAAACAGACAGCACTCAAAGCAAACAACAACAAGCCAAGCTGCTGCAGGGCTTTGTTTTTTTTTTCAGTTCTGTTTGTCCAAACCTACTCTCTGCTGAGGGCTGAAGGCAGCAGCGCTGTTTTGCTGTTTGAGAAACACATGCTTCCGTGTTACCCTGTCACAGCTCCAAGGAGTCAACCTGCAGGACCTTCCCTGCAGCGCGTGGTCAGCACTGGCAACAATAGAGGTGCTGCAGAGGGTCTCCCCAGCCCCACATCAGCCATTTTCATAACAGATGTCATGAGGAAACAGCTGACAAGCAGCTGGGACACGAGAAACTCCTCCTCCTCCTCCTCGGAGCGCTCCACAGACATTGGTTTTTGAGAGGTGCACAGCAGTGTGATTCACTCCACACCACCACCATACACAGCCCGTGCATCCTATTGCTATCCTCCTTCTGCAGAGAAAGAAAGAAGCTTCAGCAAGGCTTGAAAGCCGTATTTAAATCATGAAGCACCATGAAGAATACACAGCTATCACAGCCCAGAGCAGTGCTTGCACTTTTTGGAAGGGAAGCTAGCACTGCGCCCAACTGTGCTGCAGCTCCCTGGCTTCCCATTTCCCTGCACTTCTGGGGCCTCCACCAAACAACAGCAGCAGCAATGCAGGAACGCACTGCTCCTATCCCAAGAGCCCTCCTTTCAAGAGAGGCAGCATCTGAATTAACACCAATGCTCCCTGCTGCTATGCTTTCACCTTCCAGGCAGCTTCAATGCAACTCCAAACAAATGGATTTTCCAGCTCTGGACACTCCATCGGAAAAGGGAAAGGAAGAAAAAGAAGAAAATCCGAACCGCACAGCTGATCCAAGATCTCAGCGTCCTTCTCTCCCACTTAAGTCTGCACTATTTTGCTTAGCTTGCACGTCTGGAGACACAGGCCTCGACTGGTCTGTCTGCAGGGATGCACAACAAAAAACGGCGAGGAAATAAATTGGAAAACCATCCAGAACGCGGCCTACCTTGCAAGCAGCTGCCAGCAAACCCAAGCAGCTTTTCCTTGCACCAGAACTGAAGCCATCAAAACTTCCGAGAGCAAGAAGTGCCAAAGCCAAGGGCTTCCTGCATCGCCCTCCTCGCAGACACCGCTCTCATCTGCCCCGTGCTCTCACCGCAGCACTGCTGCTCCTGGTCCCTCTCTTCGGCAGCAGGAGGAGAACGTTGCCTTCAGTCCATCGCCGCCGATGGAACCGCTGCTCCCAGCTTAAAAAGCATCCCGAACTGAGTCAAAGCGAAGGAGGGGGAAAATAAACTCGTGCTGGAGTTTATAGTCCGGGGCGCCTGGCTCCTCCCCTTGTCTTCCAATAAAAAGTTCCGTGCTTTTTAGATCAGAAGCCAAGCTAGTTTAAACAATAGAGAGAAAAACAGCCGCTCCATTTACTCCCATTGTGTCTCAGCACCAGGAGCTCTCGCAGGCGCACGCAGCAGCTCCTACCAGCACCTCAGACCCGCACCCAGCCTCTGCCCGCCCAGTTCGCAGCCGCTGGAAGCACAGCGCTCGATTTTGGCCGTGCCGTCGCAACGAATCTCTGCAGCTCCCTCCCGGAGCAACCCCTGCGTCCTGCCTTCGCTTCAGCCGGGCCTGCAGCAACAACGTGGGACGGGAAGCGTCCACAAAACGCGTCCGAAGGCCCCGGGACGCCGCTCATGGCCGGCTGCAGGGCCGGGAGCCCCGGGAGGAACGGAGGCTGCCAACGGGGAAACCTTCCCTGCAGCGGAGAGCGGCCCTCCCGGCCCCGCAGACGCCGCCCCCCCCCCTCCCCGTGCAACCCCACGCCCCCCCGGTACCCCCCGGTACCCCCCGTACCTCCCGTACCTGCAGTCCCGGCCCCGCGGCCCCTCAGCGCGCGGCGCGCCGCCCCATCGCCGGTCCTGCGCCCGTCGGGCACCCGCCCCCCCAGCCGGCCCGCCCATCCGGGGGCACCGCAGGCCGCCAGCCAATCCCCGAGCGGCATCTAGATGACGTCAAGACCCTCTCGCCCAATCGACTGCGCGGAAGCTCTGTCAGCGTCGGAACGCGACCACGCTGGCAACAGGCGCTGACCAATAGCGGCCCGGCTGAGAGGCAGAGCCCCGCCCATTGGAACCAAGGGCACGGAAGCCCCGCCCCCCCCAACGCCCGGCCACGCCGCGGGGCGGAACCGGCAGGGTGGGAAAATGGGCGGGGGGGGGGGTGAGAGCGGAACCGGGCGGTGATGGGCGGCACGACGCGGAGCGCTGCCGCTGCTCCTGGGGATCAGCCCTGGGCGGAGCGACACTGCGGGGAGGGGAAAAGGGAAGGGAAAAAAACAGGGGAAAGGGGAAGGAAAGGAGAAAAAGAGGGGAAAAAGGGAAAGAGTGAAAAAGAGGGGAAGGGGGGGGGGCGACAGGGGCGGGACAGGAAAAAAGGAAGGAAACTCAACTCTTGGAAAGGGGAGATGACAGCAGGACGAGGGGAAATGGTTTGAATTGAGGGAGGGCAGATGGAGGTTGGATGTCAGGGGAAGTTCTGTGCTGTGAGAGCGGGGAGGGGCTGAACAGCTGCCCAGAGAGGCTGTGATGCCCCGTCCATCCCTGGAGGTGTTCAAGGCCGGGTTGGATGGGGCCCTGGGCAGCCTGGGCTGCTGTGAAATGGGGAGGTTGGTGGCCCTGCAGGGGGTTGGAGATTCACGACCCTTAGGGTCCCTTCCAACCCCGGCCGTTCTGTGAAATGTGGGGAAGGAAAGAGGAGGAGATCCTTCAGTGCACAACTCAGCACCCGTGGCTGAGCTCTGCTGTGCTGCTGCCATCCTCACCTATGGACCACGTTTCCCTTTCCCAGGCTGCCGTCCATCAGCAGTTCAGATCAGCTGAGTTCTGCTCTCATCCAGCAGAACAGAGCTGGGGCCGTTCCCTCCTGGCTGCCCACACAAAGCTGTTTGAAGCCTGGCTGCAGAGCCGACCTGCCACACACCTGGGAACGCTGCAGCGTTCTGCAGTGCCCCAAGAGGGACTCCTTCCTATCAGCATTCGATGGCACTGGGCTGCAAGCAAGCACCCCTTCACCTCCAACACGTCCCCGAACAAAGCTGAGAAGTAGAATTGCCAGGCGCTGCCTTCAGTTGAAACTACAGCTCCCCAGGTTTTGCACACATTCCAGGATTAAAGGCATCCCTCTGGAAGTCTGAACAAAGTGAAAGGCACCAGTTAACCGCCCTTGATTTTATTACATAACCAGACAGAACAGTTGAGACTGGAATGTCAGATTTCCCCTTCAAGTACAATTTACAGTTTCATATTTGCTTTGTATCAGGGAATATTTCAACTCACTAACATGCAGGTAGGTTCATTAAGTGAGGCACAGTCTCGGAATTCGGAAGTATACAGAGCAAAAATTCACTGCAAATTGCTTCACTCGTCTTCAGAGAGCAGCAGATCAGCACCTCCTCCTTCACACAGCTTCACCTGGAGCTGCCTCACCGTAACATTCAGTGCTTACTGGAGGATGCAAGAGCAAGAGAGCCAGTGAGTGATGGACAGCCATCATCAGGGTTTTCACAAGCTAGCGAAAGAGCGATACATGGAGCTGTGGTAACATTCCTCCCACTCAGCAAGAACAAATCTGATGGTGGTTAGCCCTGCTGATGGCAGATCTGTTCCACCCAGTGAAGTACAATCATTTGAGAATTACGGTCTGCAGTTGGGTCAAACAGAAGAAGAGGGAAGCAGCAGGTTAGTAGTTATGTGAAACTCGGTGTTACGCCTTGTAGGAAAGGTCAGGGTTGTGCACAAGGTCAGCAGTGAAAGAAAAGTTTGAGATGCAATGGTTCTGCAGGAGTTTTACAAAATGTATAAAGTGTTGTGTTTCTCTAACGACAACCGAAACCCTTACAAGTGCAGGTATATACATGACATGAAAATATTGCTTCACTCACTCAAAACAGGGGAGGGGAATTCTAGAGAAAAAGCAGCATGCAAAATAAATCCTGGATCTAGGGGAGGTCCTGCTTTCAGACACTGATCTACAGTACAAAATCAGCCTACAGGTCGCAAAAGTTGGTGGTTGTTTGAAAGGAAGATGCTGGCACTTACTGTACAATAATGTTAACTGATTAACATAAGCCATGAATAAATATTAAGCCACTCCACCACGCCTGCAGCAGCAGCACAGGCATCGGTGGTGGCAGAAGAAGCGATGCAGACATACTTCATTGTTCCCAAATAAAACAAGAAGAGAGAAAGATTTCCCAGGCAGGAAACAGTAAACTACACAGCCAGACTAACTGTACTAGTGGTAATTACATCAGAAGTCAGGTTATTTTCAACAGCTTTCTTAGGTGTGTGCAACCACTAAAAACCTCACTGTGAAACTTCATTGGGACAGAAAACAGAGCGTTGGGTAGGACAGCTTTTCCATTCAATTTCTCCCCTGCGTTTACAGAAACAGGAGAGAAAATCTGACTATGGCAGGAAAAAGCCTTGTAACCTAAATGCAGTTATTTCCTCAGCTGTTTCAGTCGAGCCCCCATGGTTTCTCTCCCAGAACAAAACTCAAAACCATCTGAGGAGAGCGTTTCATGGGATGATATCCAGCAGCAGATGTTCCAACACAAACACGTCTATCAGATCAGTGCCAACATTTCAAGCCCAAAACTCATCACATTCAAGGGGATCTTAGAGGCAGGAGAATGTTAGCCCTACAATTGAAGCTCTAAGATGAAAGGAGAAGATTGGGATGGGGTGAAGGAAGGAGGGGAGGGGAGTCACTGAATCACAGGAGATAAAGAAGTGCACACAAGTTTCTAAATGAAGCACAGACGAAGTGAGGGGCATCAGAGTCGTCTGCAGGAGGTCACAGGTTCTGACAGCACTGCAGTTTGTTGGATTTCTGTCCGTCGGTGGTCGGTGGGACGCTGATGTCGACGACGTTGTTGCCAGGAGACTCATCGTGTGCAGACCGGTCTGCAATCTGCTTCTGAGAAACAATGCGGTAGATTTCTGAAAGGAGAACAGCCCTGTTACAACTCTGGAAGGTATCGCCTGCAGCTGCACCACGAGTGGGAAGGTTGTAGCTGAGAAAGGGAGCCCAGGTGCAGTGTCACACCTGCTTGGCTCTCCAGCTCTGTGCAGACACTCAGCTCTGTCTGGAAGACAGAAAGATGAGATTCCTTACTGTCTCCCTGCTTCCTGTCACATTCTTTTCAGCGACTCCACGAACAAAGGTGGCGTTAAAATCTTTTTCAAAGGAGAAAGAAAGAATGAAGGCAGGCTGAGGGAGCTGGAATTGTTCAGCATGGAGAAAAGAAGGCTGGGGGTGACCTCAGTGCAGCCTGCAGTGCCTAAAGGGAGCCTGCAAACAGGAGGGGAATCAACTCTGTGCAAGGGGAGATGGCAGCAGGACAAGGGGAAATGGTTTGAATTGAGGGAGGGCAGATGGAGGTTGGATGTCAGGGGAAGTTCTGTACTGTGAGAGCGGGGAGGGGCTGAACAGCTGCCCAGAGAGGCTGTGATGCCCCGTCCATCCCTGGAGGTGTTCAAGGCCGGGTTGGATGGGGCCCTGGGCAGCCTGGGCTGCTGTGAAATGGGGAGGTTGGTGGCCCTGCAGGGGGTTGGAGATTCACGACCCTTGGGGTCCCTTCCAACCCCGGCCGTTCTGTGAAAGGAGCAGGAATGTTCATTTCTAAAACAGAGGGGCAACATTATCTAAAACATGACTGAAAAAGGATGCTTGCAAATCACCATCACACCGCAGCAATGGCAGCATCCATTTCACCCTTCAGCTTCTGGCAAGCTGTCCCCACAGATTACAGGAACACTTGCTCCTCTCCGTTACAAATCAGTTTCCCCATCCATGGCAGTGGAGAAGAGCTTCCACACAGCCCCACATTGATCTGCAAATGCTATTCTTGAGGGAACTCATGCCTGAAAGCACACAGATTCATAGAACTCCAATTGCTGAAGACAGACTTCCAGGTTAAAAGCTTTCAGAAGGAAACCATTTCACCTGCAGCATCAGTAGAAATAAGTGGAAATATTTCTATTTCACTGACTGTCAGACCTCATTCCAACTTCCCTCCATTGTGAGACAGGAAAAGGGCAAGCACCTCCCTGGAAGCCTGCAGTAAATATTATGGTCACATTCAAACAGTCACAGCCTCAGGACAAACAGCCAAAGCCTTTAACAAGGACTTAAAACTATGGAGAATTTTTAGGATTTGGGCTCTTTGTTTTGTTTTGTTTTGTGTTCTGTTGAGGTTGATTTCTTCCAAAGGAAGCTGCACCTATTCACCCCACTTAAAATAGAAGCTTGAACCCAAGGCTGAGCTCCCTGCCACTGCCTGTCTTCAGTCCTCCTTTTTTGCTCACAGGGAAAAGAGAGGCAGTGCAGACACTGACATCCCCCCTTCCCTGCTGCTCAGCGGTGTATTTTAACACGAGCTGTTCAGAGTTATCCTCAAACCCTCTTTTTTTCAAGGCAGCATCCACCTGGGTTTTCTCCCAGTCTTTAATGATCTCTCAAACTGATGGCCAGCAAGGAAGCTCCTTTCCGTCTTCCAGTTTCCCCATGGTTTCTCCCAGCCCACTGCTCTGCACAGGTTTATTTCACTCTCCTAAAAGGATGGGAAAAGCCCTTTCAGCACTGCTCATTCTCACTGGCCACATCCCTGCCATTCCTGCACTGGCCAATCTCAGCCCTCCTGGGAGCCCAGGATGCTGTCCTGAGCAGTGCTTGAATTCAGTTTGCCCAGGCCTGACCTCAGCTGAAGTTCTGGCTCCATGTTTCACACCAGGCAGCACTGAACTCCTACAAAAACCCCTGGCCGTTTTCTCTACGCAGTCAGGCTCAGGACAGCACTACAGGGGAAGACAGGATGGCTGGGGATGGCAGAGCCGCGCTCAGGGCACCGAATCATGGATTCCATCTCAGAGCACCACACGAGTCACCTCAGATCCAGCCAGGTGTCACAGATAAGCAGCACCTGCTCTCAAGGCCACCCTGCACAAGAGCTCAGGCTGCAGCTGCTCTTCTCTATAGCCTTGTCTCAGCAGCAGCATTCTCCAGTTACTTCACCAGCAGCTCAACCCAAGTCTTGCTGGGGAGCAGAGCGTAACCCACTCTTCATCCATCAGGTTTCTGTGCTCACAGAAGCAGCTTGACTTCCCTTTTTTCCTCCTGCCCACCTCTTCTCGGTCATCTGTAACTGCAGCACGCTCCTGGGATCAGAGCTGGCCAGACCCAACATCACAGCTTCTGCCTGCCTGCTTCCACACCTCTGCAAAGCAAACCTGAAAGAGCCTCCAAGAATCCACCAGGTTAAAGCTCAGCCATTTCCCTGGTAATAGGCTCTCATCCACGTACAACCAAGGAACAGCAACACCAAGCCAATTCTCTGGTCAGCATCCAACAAGCAGCACACATCAGACACTTCCTGACAACTAAGCAGTACCAGAACAAAGGCTCATTCTCATTTAAGCGAAATCAGCATCTTGTCACCAAAAAAAAAAAAGCCAAAAAATGCTCAGGAAATGCTCTTCTTAGGCACGGCGGGATGTGCACGTCAGGCACAACTCCACCAAACAGTGCAGAAGGGTGAGAACACAGAAATAGTTTGTCCTCCCAGAATTCAGCTATGGTAAGCAGAAGTCAGGATCTGGATCCTGCCCAGCACCCACACCGTGGTCCCCAAGAGCTGCTGAAGGGACACACAAACTGCAGCAAGTTTTCCACTCTGCAGGATAAGATTCAGACTGCAGTGGGCAGCCAGAGGCAGAACAGTAACTCAGGATGTGTTCAACAGATCTCTTCCCACTTATGTCGCACTGAAATTTAAGGGTTCTTTGCTAATTGCCAGTTACTTCCATTTCTGCTTGTAGTGGAAGTGGAAGACTATGCTTTGAAACATCACAGGTAACCTCATCGTGTCAAGCAGCATTTTGAGACAGGACCAACAGAACGTGTGGCTACATGGCGACTCCTTCTCTGTTACAGAAGGGTGGTGTTGTGGTGTGATATCAGCTCAGAAACCCTCATTATGATGGACAGAATTTAGAGCAGAGCCTCTGAAGGCAGAGATGCCCAGGTCTATCAGGGTTTGGCTCCAGTTGGGTCTCGCAGACCCTTGCTGCCTCCCTTGTGAGCATGTGGGTGTGCCAGCACTGTGGCTCCCAGCACTCTGCTTCCAACAATTAGACACAGAGCTGCCCAAACGCAGAGAGTCACCTCACACTGGGGCCAGAATAATACATCCTATGGAACACAGAGTGCTCAAGCATGGAGCTATGCCTCATACTAAAGTTACAGCAACATTAGGCCAAACCCTGCAGAAGCTACACACCTCAACAGATGTAAATAGAGATAAGCAATGTTTATCTGAAGCATCTGCTGCTTTGTGGGCTTCCCACTTTCACCACCTGCAGCCTATACATCTCTCAATACGCATCCTCAACACTTCCTCTTTTTCTTAACCTTCAACCATAAAACTCAGGCTTACGAGCCCACATCACTCTCAAGGAAAGTGAAAGCTGCCATGTGCTGCATTTACACAGAGCTGAACTGCACGCTCCCAGAGGTCCAACAAGCACTTGCCTCAAGTTTGCCAAATACCAGCTGGAAACCACTGTGAGCCAATCAGCACAGCTGCTTTCACCACATTTTTTCACCATGCTCTTCATTTTTGGCTCAGCACAATAAGGAGGACTTGCTGCTGTATCCTGAAATAATAACGGCTTCACTGGTGGCTCCTGACCCTCACGCGCTCCCTTATTCCAGGAGCAAGGGCTCCATGCCTTCACATGGGAAATCCCAGCCCCAGACTGAAAGAGACCAAACCCAAGAAGAATACTACAACCTGCAGCCCTTCTGATACGACGTGCAGTGAAGCTACTGCATAAAGCCACACAGCATTCCCACACACACACAGCAAGTCCTCAAGCTGCAATGAGACACCACGAGCTCAGCAGCTTCATTTTGGTGTCTGCCCACTATCACATTGCCACACAGTTCCTGGGGATCTTAAGAGACATTCCCAGAAGGCAAAAAAAAGCAGCTACACCATTGGTGCACAGTTGCATTCAACCTGTGCCATCAGCTGAGTGTAAGAGTTCAGTATTCTGGACAGTGTTCCCTACCTGCCAGCTTCAGAGGTAGGAGCACGCTGCAACATTTATCTTCCTACCAAGGCTGTGGCTTTAGCACCAGGTTTTGTGCTGCCAAAGAACTACTTGTGTTCTTACAACAGCTCAACTGCAATGGCTTCACTTTGTGGAATATTAGGAGCCTAGAACAAATCCGAACTGGGGAGAAAGGCACGTGGGGTTGGGGTAAAACACAGAGGTAAGGTGAGGCAGGCTGCAAACAAGTAATCATTCCCAACATCACTTCCAAAACAGCCTCAATAACTGCAGATTGTGCCCATGTAGAAGTTCCACTGCCATGGTGGGTCTGCAGAACCCATAACAGACCTCACCTGTAAGGATGTTCTTGAAGGCTTCTTCTACATTTGTTGAATCCAGAGCAGAAGTTTCAATAAAAGACAGGTTATTTTTTTCTGCAATAAATAACAAGTGGTTCAGTTAGGAACTTTAGCAGCACTTTTTGGTTTTTAAGGGCAATCAGTCCAGGTTGTTGGCTATTTTTCCCCCCCATTTACTGGAACAACTTGGTGCACCACTGACACAGCCACAGCAGCAGCACCTCTGACCACTGCTGCTCTGTAGCTTTAGGATATTTACCTCACTGCAGTTCTTACTTACTCAAGCCATACATTCCCCCAGCCTGGCACAGTGTTATCCTCACCTGGCCACAGATTGCTCCTAGAAGCAACTTCAGCCAGAGCAGAGGATAACATGTGTTGACTGCAAGAGGACTTAAATACTCCTCTGCATTTCATAACACGTGAACAGATCTAATGATTCCTTAAAAGGCCTCACCTCCAAATTACAATAAACCTTTTGGCAGCAGAGTAATTTTTCTTGACTCTGAGAGCACAAAAGATGCTTCTACATACTGTTAATAGTAATTAACAACCAGACATCCAAGGTGGAGATGTACAGTACAGCTGCCATTCAGACACACTGCAGTCACAGAGCTTGACCTGTGACACCTGCACCATCCCCAGGTGTTTGAGAGTAGGGAGTTAGGGGCAACAAGTGTTGAGCCAAAGGATCGAAGTAATCCTGTAACCAGGGCACCCTCTGATTTCTTTGATCTCTTATGCAGATTTTGCCTCTCATTCAATTGAAAAATGTAAAAGCAGCTTCACTGTCCACAGGGTACTTGCTTAATAGCAAATTTTAGGAAATGCATTTAAGCAAGCCTAGTAATATTCCTAGAAGGATTCTAAAGGCTACATACTTAAATTCCAGCCCCAAGCTTGACATGCACAGATTGAACATCTGTTGGCCTATTCAGGCACAAGAATATTTGATCAGACTTCTGCAAGATAAGGAAGAGAGAGAGAGGCAACACAGTGGCAGCAGCTCACATAACCAGCTAGGCTGTTCCCAGAACAACTGATAACCTCCAAGTCTGATGATCACTGCATTTAAATGGCACTAGATGACACTACTACCCACGTTAGTGCTCAGGAGCAGAAACTGCACCATCTAAGAGAAGGTTCAGGATTCATTTGCAGCTCTCCATAGAACCAGGCCTCTAGAAATGAAGGAGAGACTTGGATTTTGTGTTGTGATATTTGATGTCTATTGACAGATACTTGGTCTGCTGGTTGGCGACCCTGCACACAGCAGGGGGGTTGAAACTGGCTGATCATTGTGCTCCTTTCCAACCCAGGCCGTGCTATGATTCTATGATCTATACGTGGTATTTTCTCCTCTAATTGCCTGCTGTTTTTTAGCCTTCCTAGAGGAAGTGTTTATGCTTTGGATATCAGGCAGCTCAAGGACGGTGTTTTACAAACACGAGATTTAACAAGAAACCACATCCACTATTTAACAAGCCAGCTGCAGAATCTTCAACACCCTTTTCTTACGCCAAAATCAGCATAAGGCAAAAGTCAAACACTGGACAACACAGCGATTCCAGCCTGCACCAGCACACTGAACTTGAGGAAGCACCTGGAGATGCTGCACACCAACCTGCGAAAGCGCGCGCCTCGTCGGTGGGCACAGCCCTGAGGTGGCGGAGGTCGCTTTTGTTGCCCACCAGCATGATGACAATGTTGTTGTCTGCGTGGTCCCTCAGCTCCTTCAGCCAGCGCTCCACGTTCTCATAGGTGAGGTGCTTGGCAATGTCATAGACCAGGAGGGCCCCGACGGCGCCGCGGTAATACCTGCGAGCACAGACACCTTCAGAGAGCTCCAACAGCCCCACGCCTGCTTCTCCCGTTCAGAAAGCTGTGCTGATGCAAGCGCTGCAGTTCTGTATGCTTTTTTTTTTCCCTTTCTCTTTTAATAACCATCCCCTCAAAACGAGCTCCAAACATTTCGTTGGGTGTTTGCGACGTTTTGACTCACCTTCCAACGAGGAAAAGTAACCCTTGGTGAAAAGGCAGCATTTGTTGCTGAGCTTCCTGTCTCTCCAAACAGAACTGGAGACCCCGGGCTCTGCTCACACAATCTGCCCTTCAGCACATTTCAGCACAAGCCCAGGGCTCAGCACAACACAGCAAACACCACTCACCACTCCGTGACACCCACCATCCCACACAACACCACTGGGCCCCTCTGCTCCCCCAGCACCTGTTTGCTGTGCCACCAAACTGCTGGCAGCTGCTTCTGCATTACTCTGCTCTCCATTCTCCTGCTCCCTTTGGGCTGTGCTTTTCTGTTTCTCTCCCATTTTGACCTAACCTCTACAGCCTCGGAAGAACAGTTCCCCTCACTGTAAGGCTCACATACACAGCTTCATCTGTGCTTTCTTCAGCAACAAGCTTGGACTTCAGAAAGCGATATATTCCTTCAACCCTGCAATAATCAGGCCTGCCACTGGCTGTTTGGATTTCTCCCCTCTAAAAGAGGCTTTGGTCTGCTGCTTACACCAAGATGTTACATCTTCAGATGCTGCCTGCACTACAAAGGTGATCTAAAAGCTTTTCAACACCACTGTTCACAATACAGCCTGCAGTCAGCACTGCCTTCCTATTTACTGGATGTTCAGCATGCTTTCTTGGACCTCATTTTGACAGCTATGACATTCACACCCACTGAATCTAAACGTTATTTTCATTGTACTGATCAAGCAACACGCTATTTGTTACTGCTTACTTGGCTCTACAGCAGGACATGCCGTGAGGATTCTGTCCCACCCAAACGCTTCATTCAGTCTCCACCTGTAAATGCAGCCGCTGTTGCCCCAAAGAAAGGCAGGTACTCACGCTGAAGTAATGGCACGGTATCTCTCCTGTCCTGCAGTATCCCAGATCTGTGCTTTTATCGTCTTCCCATCCACCTGGATGCTCCTGGTAGCAAACTCCACCCCAATGGTGCTCTTGCTCTCCAGGTTGAACTCATTGCGTGTGAAGCGTGACAGCAGGTTACTCTTCCCAACCCCGGAGTCTCCAATCAACACAACTGAAAGACAGGACATCATTTTCCAAATTAACTCCACACCAGCACTGTGCTCCTTGGCTGCTTCAGGCAGGACCCGCAGCAAGGAGGGAGATGAGATGCCCAACTTTTGTGCCATTCATTTCAGCTATTTCATCCACCAACACGCTCCCCACGGGAAGACAGCTGATACCACAAACAGAGCAGGACTTCACCCAACAGAGCGAGTTCCAGCGGATTAGATGAGAAGTAAGAGACTGAAACTCTCTGCCTCCGCACAAGGTGTTGCCATGCTAACAGGAAAACATCAGTGCTGAGAGATTTCTAGACCCTCCCGATCCGTCCACAGCAGATTAGAGAACACCCCTCCCTGCACGCTTTCTGGATTAGCTCACCAGCATTCTCCCATGGCCACGAACTGGGCTGGTCCCTCTGTTATTTCAGCTTTGCTTTATTTCGTGTTCAGGCCATTGTTTCAGGCTCCAGCTTTGGCAGCTCCCACCCCACTTCTCCCCAGCAGGGACAGCTGAAGCCAGCTCCACGCAGCGTCTGCCTGCACGCGCAAGCACTCGGCCCAAACCTTCCAAGGAACACACAGCTCAAGAAAGCACGGCTGCCTCTCCAGGTTGGACTCATTTCTGTCCTCTGCCACGTGAAGATGACCAGTTTCATGCATGAACTCTGCAAAAAGACCTTGGCTCATTAACTCCATTGGCCGCAGGAAGAAAATTCAGGCGGCCCTGCCCCACACTTTGCTAATGACCCACTGCAGTCTGGTACCTTCAGATGCCTTCAGCGGCTGCTCCACGCTCTGGCAGGGCTGGGGAGAGCATTTCTGAGATGTTACTGAATGCAGGAGTAATGAAGGCAGGCAACCAGACCCAAACTCAGCACCAAGTTCGTGCTCGCTCTGCCTTACAACCTGCTGCTCTCAGTCAACCATCAACCAAAGATTTCCTCTTTTAGCAGAGAGACCCAAAGACTGGAGACCCACATACCCCTATTTTCTATGGGAACAGAGCAAGAAGGAGCCTTAAAGCTTCTGGACCAAAGCAATCAGATCTCATGGAATCTCCTCAGCTTGGGAACGGGTTACTAAACAACACTGCCTGTTCAAAGAGTTAAAAAGAAAGCCCTAAACCAAATGCAAGAGCCCAAATCCTTACTACATCCATCAGAACACATGAACTCACACCCCTTTACCAACCTTTGGCCCCACCGACAAGAGCAAGAAACGCTGCTTTGGGCTTGGAAATGATCCGAACCAACAGGTCAGCATCAAGCAGGGCAGTGCAGAACGAGGCACCCAGCCCTCAGCCCAGCTTCCAGCACAGCCGCAGGGCTGCTCCTTCTGCCTGCCCTCCTCCCAGCTCTGCCCCGGGCTGCTCAGCACTCACCGTCACCAACTGCACAGCACTGCAGGTCTGGTAGCACACGATCAGGTTTATCATGGAATTTTAAACAGAGCGGTTAATTATCTGTCAAAAGGAGTCTATTCCTTCACACAATGAGGAGGATTAAGCCTCTTCCCAGCGCAGCTCATCATAAATATTCAGCACATAAGGTTGCCAGATATTGATGAATAACATGACCAACATTTGTTTCCAATAACCAAAGGCCCCGTTGGGCTTCAGCTCTGATCGGCGCGCTCTACTTTTCCACAAACATAAAAGAAAGCTTTCATTTTTGCCCCCTATGGACGCTTCTTCCCTTCCTTTTCACCCCCACGAGGCAGGAGTACATCTGCACAATCTCAGATGTCATTTGTAAAACAAACACCGATCACAGCTGATCTTCTCAGGAGGAAAACCAACACGAAGATCACACCTCAGTAGTTGCACAGCTTCTGATACTTCAAACAATATTAAAAGGCCGTACAACCAACTCCACCAATTCAATCCCACCAAACACGTTCAATCCCATCCAAACCACCCAAAACCCATCACAAGAGGTCCCAGCTGCAGAGCTGGCTGGGAGCAGAGCTGTGAACCCCCGCTTCTGCTGGGTTACATCACTGCAGTGCCTCCACAATGAGACCCTCACAGCCACACACAGCACCCAGCTTGTTCTCCCAGGGCTGCGTTAACAAACAACATTTTGTTCTGATCAATAAAACGAGCAGCTCAGACCGCAGGGATCAGTGCAGGAAAAAGGGAAACAGCACACAGAGAGGGACCGGCTCAGCACAGCAGCTCTGACGGCAGCCACGCTCACATCCCCAAAGCTGGAATTAGCTGGGACCTTCTGCATGCTCGAGCCATCAAGCCAATAACACACAGCCTTCCCACAGCCCTGCTGGAACAGCCGCTCCTGGAGCACGACTGCCAACACGGATTGGTGTTCAGTGGTGTTCTCTTGCATGAGGAAACATTAAAAAAGCCGGAGCCAGCTGCGTGTGGAAATAGGTTTCCTTTGGAAATGGGGGACTGGAGAAACGACTTTCATTTCTGGGTAACCTCGGGCATAAGAAAATGAAATCAATCTTTCCCGCTGTCATCCATGGCCGTTCCCACCTCTGCGCTCAACTGAGAAGAGTTCAAACCTGAGCATCAAATCCCAGCAGCAGAGCAGAGGCTCACTCAGAACGCGCCAAGTGCGCTGATGTTTTCATTACATCAATTTCCACTTGATATTTAATTCCATCACTGGAAAGGCAAGGAGGGGGAGAACGGGGAGCTGATCCTCTTTGTTTTCTAACGAGAGTGGAGATTTCATCCCACTCAATCTTGTTTATACCCATCCTTTCTTATCCAATCCCAAACAGCCCAGAAGGAAGGAAGCACGGAAAGCCAACAGATAGGGAAGAAGGGCTTTGCCTGTTGGGCTGTGTGTTTTTCCTTCTGGCATGGGGCTGATTTTGCTCCTTTGTGTTGTTGGTTTTTGTTTTTTTAATGAAAAAAACCAAACCAATAAATGCTAACAGAGCTGCCCAGGAAGCAGATGAGGACAAACCCATCCCCTATTTCTGCATGACATGAAGTGCCACAAAGCAGTGTGTGTGCGTGTGTGTGTGTGTGTGCGTGCCACCGCTCTGCCCCAACAGCTCCGGGTTGTTTCGCTCCAGATGAAATTAAAATCCTGCCTTCAAAGCAAGGTGAGTGTTTTTAAAGCAGAGCAGCGCTTTGCCTACCTAATCAACAGGGAGAAACGCAGCGGGGAGGCTTTCAAAGAGCCCAACCCTGGGACCAGACGGTGCGACGGCCTCAGCATGAAGCCAGCCCGGCTCCACACAGCTGATATTTCCGAGCTTACAGCCCTGCTGGAAGGCGCAGACACAGAAAGCAGGGCGGTGCTCCGCTTCTGCCTCCAAGCTCAGCGACCAGCAGGCGAGCACATCCATAAAGCACACAGCAACGACAGCAACGACAGCCACAAGAGCAAAGCCAGAACAGCCAGAACAGCCACAGCAGCCATAGAAGCCATAGCAGCCACAGCAGCCCTCCACCCCCCTGGCAGCCCCGTCCCACCCCATCAGGGCCCACGGAACCCTGCAGGGCGCGGCCGGGCTGGGAATGCCGCCCCCTCACAGCGGAGGGCCCGGGCCGCGGGGCTGCGTACGGGAAGGGCCGGACCGAACCGAACCGGGCCTACGGGAGCCGCGGAGCCGCTGAGAGGCGCGGGGCGGCCCGGCCGGGCGGTACCTTTGAAGAGGTAATCGTACTCGTCGTCGCGGGTGCCCATGGCGATGGCGGCGCCGACCCTCTGGCTGCCAAGCACCGAGCGCGGCCCAACCGGGGGGGAAGGGGAAGGTCCGCTCCCGTCGCAGCCAATCGGCGTGCGCCAGAGCCCGCAGGAGGCGGGCGTCGAACCGGCCCCGTCAGCGCTACCCAATAGGCGGCGGGTTCGCTTCTGAGTGGCGGGTGACGCTGTCCAATGGAGAGAGGGCGGCTGGGGCGCAGGGGTGCGGGTGCCGGGACTCTGAGGGGAGAGGCGGGGCGGGGCGGGGCGGGGGCGGAGGCGGGGCTTATAGTATGGGCGGTGCTTATTATGTGGGCGGGGTTTATCGTGTGGGCGGGGGCTGGTGGGCGGGGCGGTGCTGAGCCCCGTTGAGCCCCGCGCTCCGAGCTGCGGGCGCGGCGTGTTCAGCCCGGTGCGGCGGCTCTGTGGGCGCTCAGCCACAGCCGCAGCCTGGCCCGCCGCCGTGTCGTGCTGCCCCCCGCCGTCCCGCTGCTCGGGCAGCCCTCCCGCCTCACTTTACAATCACAGAATCACCGAGGTTGGAAAAGACCTCCACGGTCATCCAGTCATCCACTTACCACCGGCATTTCCCGCTGCACCACGTCCCTCAGTACATCTACACGTTCCTCGAACACCTCCAGGGACGGTGAACCCACACTCCCCGGACAGCCCGTTCCAGTGCCCAACCGTTCTCAGACCCTCCATTCTCCTACGGCCACCCCATGGCTGCTTAGAGCCGCCTACTGCTGCACTCCCCTTTGCTCTCCCTTCCAGGCTCATCCCACACTCACAGCACCGTGCAGTGTGCCCTCCTGATCTGTCACCTTCCTATGCCAAAAGCAAAGCCCCGCCTGGAACACAGAGCATTCTAGGAAGGCATTTCCCCTTTTCTCTTGGCTCCAGCCCATGTCCTGATGGACGTTCCACCCTCAGGGAACGCTGCAGCTGTGCTGCTCTGGGGGTTTCCCAATGACAGAGCAGCAGCCACCGATGCTGTGAGCACAGCCAGGCTCAAACTGCTGCTTGGAGAACCCCCACGGCCTAGCTGCAGGAGTGCAGGCACTCAGTGTGCGCCCCCTGCACCCATCCATGCACCAGCGCTGCGCCCGCTGCTGCCACGCTTCTGATCCGTGCCTGAGACAAATTCACCCAGGGAAGGCGACGGCTCCGTCCCTTCCTCGCTCTGTGATGTGCCAGAACATTCGCTCTGCTCATTAAACGTTCTGCCCTACTTTCCCTGGAGGAGCCTTCAGCTGGATGAAGGATTAGTGGCTCTCTGGCACCGCGTGGCAGCAAGGATAAGGAGAGCAGGGAGAGAAAAAGCTTTGTGCTCATTGCCATCCCCCTGCGGAGATGCTGAAGGCATCAGCTCAACCCCCCCAGGCTGTGCAGCTCCTGACCCACCCAAATCATGAACACCACAGGCAGGCAGGGGGAGGCTTCTCACGGGCTGCTCTTCCCTGGTGTAAACGCTAACAAATGTATGAGGACATGGGAACAGGCAGCATCAGGCTAACAGCTCCCATCAGAGCTGGGACCCGGCTCCTGCTGGCTGAAAATTATTCTCAGTATGAAAACTGATCTGAAAATGGGGTGAGATATGGATGCAAACACACACTGCAGCCCCAGTGCTGTGTGTAGGCATCTCTATTGCATAAGAAGCCATGGAAGCAGCTGGGGAAGAAAGAAATGGATTCACAGATGCAGGCTCTAGGAAAGACGCTGCCTCCCAACCTCACCAAGGGTCACACAAGAAATTCCTCTCAGACAGATGGAGGTTTCTGTTGAAACAGAGAGTAAATCTTTCTTCTCACCCTTCCTTTGCAGCCTCAGCGCTCACAAACAGCCACGAGGCATTGGCCTTTTAACCTGCACAGAAGGGATCTTTAACAACCAGGATCTGCTGGGACGTGTTGTTGCTTTCTCCCATTGATATTCACATATCCCCACAGGACTGCAGTGAGTTTGGCCCCACTGGGTGATGCCCTCAGCACTGCCAGGCCATGGGGCAAACAACGCTGAGCAGAGAACGGCAGCAGCAGGGCTGCCCTGGGGTGGATGGTGCAGAACCTCTCAGGGAGGGGAATGGTCCCACGCTGAGTTCCCTATGGCAAAGTATCTCCCACCCCAGGCAGGTGAAAGATGGGAGAAGAGAGCAGCTTCTCATTGCTCTGCTGAATAAGACCCTTCAATTCCATCGCTTCGCTGTCAGTCTTATCGGAGCAGCAGGAGGAAAACAACTTAGTTTTGTCCTCTGCAGCAGCTTAATGGGTTCTGAGCTGAATCTGAGGCATGCATGGATTTTAGCAGGAAAAAATAATAAAACAAGCTATTTCTTCTCAATTGGGATCAAAATCGCTTTCTTTTCTTGTCGCACCACCCAAGAAGGGTCACTGTAATTTTGGAAGAGTGACAGGAGCACCCTGTGTGTGCATCGCTAATGCTGACTGCATCACCGCCACCACCCGACCCCCTCGGAGCTCTCCAGCTCCCAGCACGGCTCCAGCCCGTCCTTCGCCGCCGTTTCTCCCGCTGTCACTGGAGGGAGCTGCCTGTCCTCCATCCGGAGCTGCGAAGAGCCGCAGTGTGAGCGGTGATGGATGCGGTCACAGCGTGCACGAGGGGATGAGCTGAGAGTGCGTGAGGAGGGGGCTGAGGGCCCGGGTTTGTCGGTCTGGGGGCTGAGGGGGCTTGGGGGGCTCCTTTAACCCTCCTTCCAAATTGGACTTCAATATTTTCACAGAATCACAGAATGGCCGGGGTTGGAAGGGACCCCAAGGGTCGTGAATCTCCAACCCCCTGCAGGGCCACCAACCTCCCCATTTCACAGCAGCCCAGGCTGCCCAGGGCCCCATCCAACCCGGCCTTGAACACCTCCAGGGATGGACGGGGCATCACAGCCTCTCTGGGCAGCTGTTCAGCCCCTCACCGCTCTCACAGCACAGAACTTCCCCTGACATCCAACCTCCATCTGCCCTCCCTCAATTCAAACCATTTCCCCTTGTCCTGCTGCCATCCCCCCTTGCACAGAGTTGATTCCCCTCCCGTTTGCAGGCTCCCTTTAGGCACTGCAGGCTGCACTGAGGTCACCCCCAGCCTTCTTTTCTCCATGCTGAACAAGCCCAGCTCCCTCAGCCTGTCTTTGTAGGGAGGCACCTCAAGCCCCAGGTGCAGATTTGGGCCCCACAAAGTCAGAAGGGCATTGAACCATCCAAGAGCAACCCCAGAAGGGCTGCAAAGGTGGGAGAGAATCTGAGGGCCCTGGGTTTGTGGGGCCTGGAGCAGAGGGACCCCAATGGCAGCTGCAGCTCCTCGTAGGGAGAAACAGCACTGCGTCCTGCCAAACCTGGCACAGGCTGCCCAAGGAGGCTGTGGATGCCCCATCCCTGCAGGCATTCAAGGCCAGGCTGGATGTGGCTCTGGGCAGCCCGGTCTGCTGGTTGGTGACCTGCACACAGCAGGGGGTTGGAACTGGATGAGCATTGTGCTCCTTTGCAACCCAGGCCGTTCTGTGATTCTATGGACACCCCTCCTTAATCTGACCACTTCAGCATCCCGAGCACAACGCGGCACGCTGCTGCTTCTGCCTAAAGCAAACGGAGCATTAAAAATGTATTTCTGAACACAAGGGGGAGCGGATGGATCGCACGGGGCAGCCTAGTGGGCTCCTTGTGCAATTGTGCTCGGGGCTGCCATTAACCCTGCGGTTTTCTCCGGGGTTGGATGGAGCAGGAGCAGGCAGGCCAGGTGTGCAGGTGTTTGTACAGCTGCTCCCAGGGACTTCCCGAGCCGTGCTGGCTCTTGTCTCTCGCTCCTGGAATGAGCCGTTCTGTGGGTTTGATGGGTTTTGGTGCTGCTTTCTGCTTTGCAGTAGGATATCTGTATTCAAATGGAGATGCTGCTGTTTTGCCTGCCCTCAATACCAGCCTGGATCTGTCCCTGGGAAGACTGAAGGAACCCCAGATTCCTTCACATGTGATAGCTGCCTACAAGCTGATGGATATTGCTTGGCATATATGGTACAAACAGCTACAAGGCTGTTGTTGGCTGGGGCAGCTCCTGGTCAGGTCTGCCTTTATCTGTCCATACAATTCCAATTGTGTTTGCATCCAGCCAGCTGCAGGCAGTAGCTTTGGTGCAAAGTTTTGCCATCAGAGAATAAGGGCTGCTGCTCCAGGGCCTCATTCCCAGCAGAAAAACATGGAGCCTGTAAGCTCCAAGCAGAGCGGAACCCAGGGGGACTGTCAGCTCCACACAGGACATGGTCAGGACAATAAGAATCCAAGCACCCACTGAGCAAAGCATCTGAATGCACATCCTTGCACATCTCCCACAGAACCACCGGTGCACTGTCACGCAAATAATGCAGGCAGGACACTTACAGGCTTCTTTTTATTAAAAGACATTTTCAGAAAAGATGTTTTAGTACAAAAAAAAAAAAAAAAGCCAACAAAAAACCACCAACAAAAAAACGTTTAAAATACACAAACTACAGCTGTTGTTTTCCAGCGCCGACGCTTATAAATTACACCACATTAACACTGCATTTAAATACGGAAACAAATTAGAACGAGAAGTTCATCAAAAAGATCCAACATCCTACAAAGGCTATTTACAGTATTTAGCAGCTAGGAGCTCTAGCACGGCAGTCAATATGACTTCAATAGGGCAGGATGCTTGGGAAGCCCCAAGACGGCAGCTTGGCCCGTAACAGTTTTTGGGGATCTGTTTCACCCATCCCAGGGCAGAGCTGCACCCAGCCAGGCAGTGCAGCTCGTGCAGGGCAGCCCTGATGTCCCCTGGCCTTTAGGGTGTGCAGGAGGGGCTGTGCAAAGGATGGGGACGCTTTTTGGAGAAGGCATTGCTCCAGGCTGTGAGAGCTCCAGGCTGTGAGAGCACACAGCTGGCAGCAGGACACTGGTTTCCCATGGATGGGCGCTGCTCCATGCGCGTGTTGTCCCAGCACACGTCCCACTGCTGAGCTCCAGGCTGAGCCATGACTCAGTCCCCAGCGCCCCCCCACAGCTGCCTGCATCGTCTTGCTCATCGCTTCCCGGAGCTGTGAGCGTTTTTCCCAGCTCTGAACAAATTCCAGCCAGC